TTCAAAATTTTATAAATAGGTTGTATGGACTTAAAAAGTGTTTTAAAGATATCTATCAATAAAAGTCAGCATTTTAACAATAAATATTGCCAAAATATGGAAATTCGCTGGGTACATTTGAAAATGTTGTATGATAATTGTTTTAGTTTATTTTCATCAGATTTACAGTTACAATTGCATTCTAGGTGTATTAGAAGATATTCAGTTGCATTAAAAGCTTCCTCAGGATTGTTTTGATGGTTTATTGCATTAAAATATAGCTTTTTTACCAGGCGAGGATAAAAATATCAGATTTTTTCTTTGCATCTCCATGTAGTCTGTAAAAATAAAATAAATATATTAATACACAATGGATTCATATTCCTTAGCTTCTGACTTTTCAAAGGAGACCAGAATTATGCATCTAGGCCAAATGGTTGAGGAGTTATTCCTGATTCATTTTGGGTATGTAATTTTAGGCGTTTTTTCTGGAAAAAGGGGTCTGTTTTCAAGTAAAGATAATTTCTTCATAAATGTACCTAAAGAAACCTAATTTGTTGATTGGCAATTCTCTGCTGTCTCAGAAGAGACACCTTTTGTGCTGTGTCAGCCACCGTAGCTGTCATATGCTCTTTGAAACGGTAGGGGGCAGTGGTAGACTGGACAGTTGGTTACAATTTGCAACCCTCACCACTAGATGCCACTAAATCTTACACACTGAACCTTTAAAGGAGACCTATTATTATTCTTTTCCAGTCCTATATTGTAGTTCTGTGACTCCTGTATGGCAGCTTTGCATGATGGATAACATGTTAGACAGACTGAGGCACTGGGTGGGGATCTCTGGTACTGCCTTACGATGGTTTTCATCCTACCTGTCAAATAGGAATTTGTGTGTCTGTAAACAACTGTGTCTTCTTTCTGTCCAGTTAAATATGGTGTGCCTCAGGGGTCGGTCTTAGGACCCATTTTGTTTTCCTTGTATCTGCTTCCCCTTGGACATATTATCCATAAACATGGTATTTCTTTTCATATTTTTGCTGATGACACACAAATGTACTTGACCCTGGAATGCAGAGTTCACTTAACAACTGCCTTTGTGAAGTTAAAAAATGGATGTCAAATAATTTCCTCCAGCTGAACTCAGACAAAACAGAGATCCTGGTCATTGGGTCCCAGCAGATGGCAAAACAGTGTCATTTGCTGGTTCCCTAGTAAATCACATTAAGCCTGTTGCAAAGAACCTTGGTGTTTGGTTTGATTTAAATTTTGAGCAGCACACCACAAAGCTTGTTCAATCATGTTTTATCAACTTAGATCGACTTTTTGCTATATTTCTATGTTAACTTTTAAGGACACCGAGACCATTTTACACGCCTTCATCTCATCACGCCTGGATTATTGCAACAGCCTTTTCACTTGTTTAACCCAAAAATCTACTGATCGACTCCAGACTGTCCAGAACTCAGCTGCCAGGCTTTTAACCAGAACGAAGAAATATGACCACATTACTCCTATTTTAGCTTCATTACACTGGCTCCCAGTATGTTTTAGAAATGACTTTAAAATTTTATTCATCACTTTTAAAGCTCTTCGTGGCCTCTAGGCTTGTTATATTACTGACCTTTTAGTCCCATACACACCAGCACGTACCTTGAGATCCTCGGGCAGAGGTCTGTTCCAGAGTCTCGACTGAAAACTAAAGGGGACAAAGCGTTTGCTGTCAGGGCCCCGAGGCTTTGGAACAGCCTGCCACAGGAAATCAGGGCCGGTATTTATCAAGCTTATCAAAGTGCCATTTTAGTCTTAAGTGCTGAGAATTCATGAAATTTACTCCTACTTTTAAACTTAAGAATAAAAGTAAGGTATCAAATTTCTCAAAGCTAAGAATCACTCTTATTCTCCCAGTTATTTAAGACAGCTCAAGAGGTCTCTCAAGTGGTTAGGAGTTGCCAGTAGGGCTTGTGATGGCACTGTGGAGAGGAGAGGAAGAATTCGGACAACGCGCAGTTACTAAGACAGGGTCGGAACGCGCAAGCATAAACTTTATCAGTGAGTTGGTGAGGGACGTCATCTCACCACTGACTTTATGCAGTAATGCGTTTTCTGTTAAATTGAAGGTGGTGATGACGCTTCGTTTATTTGCCACACGACAAACGCAGCAATGCTGATGATTTTTGCCCGTCACAACCATCAATAAGCCGAATATGTATATATGTAATATATCACATGTTTCATCGACTTCCCAACAATACCCCCCGTAATCCGACAGAAGCAAACACAGTTCATATTGCCAGCAATACAGGAGGACATTTGGTGGCGCTCATATAAAGCTAAACTTTTTTTTATCTTTCATTTATTAATGTATAGGCCTATGTCATAATGTATTATCTTAAAAATTCTTTATTGTTAAATGTGTGTTGAATATAAAAACTCCCCTTAGGAATTTCACCATTCAATGTGAATTTATCTGAGAATATTCTTAAAGAAGGAAATCTATTTAGTGATTGGTCCTTGGCGACATCTTCATTAAAAATCTTGTTTGCGGCACAGCAAAGTGTCGTAAATCAGCACTAACACTGATACTTAAGATTTTGTCCTACACTTCACTCAAATTGGGGCTGTGATGCTTGATAACTAACTTTTAAGCACAGCTTTAAGCCAAGAATTTTTTTTACTCAGTCAGTTCTTAGCAGTGTTCTTATGAGTAATTCTGAGAAGCTTGATAACTGGCCCAGGTTGGCTGAGTCAGCGAACTCTTAAGTTCCTTCTTAAAACATACTTTTATAGGAGAGCCTTTTCCGATTTTATTTGACTTTATTTTATCCCTTTTATTTTATTCTATTTTACTTATTTTATATTTCATCTTAAATGTGCATTTTAGTCTTTTCAATGTGTTTTTGCTTTTATCATGTATTGTTTTTGTGTATTATTGTCTTTACACTTGTTAAAGTACTTTGTAACTTGGTTTTGAAAAGTGCTCTACAAATAAAGATTATTATTATTATTATTATTATTATTGAAAGTTCAAAAAATATTTTTTTCTTATACTGATTCTTCATGTAGGCCTTCATTTCAGCCTCTATCTGAACAAGCTGTAGATGCTCCTGTCTCGTTAAACCCCCCTCTAAACGCCCCCTCTCAAAGTCCTCTGATTGGCCAAGACCAGAAGCATGTTACCAGGCTGTTGATGTTGCTGGGCGGAACAGGCAGACTGAGCTGCAGTGCGTTAGTATGGGAGCACATGACCATATATGGAACACTGGCTCTGTCTGGCTCAGTATTATGTAGAAGGGAGCCATTGGTAGAAAAAGCAGTTCAAAACGGAGGTTCAGAACGGGAGGAAACCTGAGGATTTTGCTCACAGTGACTGCGTTTACATGCAGCCAATAACCCGTTCAAAACAAGGATATTAGCAATAACCCGGTCGCGAACGGGCATGTAAACACCGGCATAAACCCGAATATGCTCATATCCTGGATTTTAAAAACCGGGATATTATAGCTGGGGTACCCCTTTTCTAACCCGAATTTTTGGTCATGTAAACGCGTATGGGCATATCCCCATAGTGATTTGTGTTCTGCGCATGTTCTATTCGCAAGGAATCTTGGTCTTTTGAGTAGAGGAACTTCTTGTATGCGTAGTAAACGAGGTAAACATGGCGAGACGCAGCACAGCACCGTACTTCTGGAGCGAGGAGGAAACCAATTTTTTAATTCATGTTGTCAAAAACATGAATATAATGTCTTTTGTTGACGGTAGAAAGTACAGAGATACTGACATTTACAAGAAGGTGACCGAAAAAATCGGAAATGACGCATATTGCGTCTTAAGGTTGTCCGTACGTCCAGACGTTAACCGTGCGTCGCCGTTTACATCGGGGTAGTGCCAATTGATTACAAATTCCATGTATACAGGAGTAACTCTCTCTGCTCACGCATGTAAACGGGTTATCCCGAATGTTTCAGAAACCCGAATAGTGACCTTAACCCGAACATAACCCGAATATTGACAGCATGTAAACGTAGTCAGTGATGCTGTAACCCTATTTTTTTTTTTTAACTTTGGCCATGTTTAACATGAACATCCAACATTATAACATTGTAGATGAGTCATAAAAAGTGGGAAAATATAATAGGTCTCCTTTAACTGAGATTTTCTCAATGAGACCCTGTGAAGATTTTTTTAAATATACTGCAGTCTCATCTTCATTAACACAAAAAATAAACAAAGACTAAATCTAGCCAAAGATTCCCTGCTTCAGCAATAACTTTCCCTGGGGTATACTCTCTTTGTCTTTACTATGACATTGTATTATCATTAGCATTGTATTTAGCCAGGGAACAGCCATATATAATATTATTATAATCAATACATATAAAAATATAATCAGTACATAGAAACATTGAGAAATAATGTCTCAATGTCAAACAGTGTTTTACTGCAAATCTTCTGTTGAAAATAAAACATTTGACAAAGAGACTGATAATACAAGTTGGGGCTCTGTGACACATGATTTGAATCACAGTAATCGGGCAGCCCTTCCTACAATCACATTCAGATGTATTCAGGGAACTGGATATTAGCTTTGTTGGGAGAAAGACAGAATTCAAGCGGTTTTCTGTGGAAAATATTACCCGCTTGCAATAACCCCAACTATAATATGAGGTCTGGGTAACAGATGACATAGCCTGAGATACAATTCAGCTCAAATGAAACGAGCAGGGTCTATTAGCTTCAACAGATGTTTTACGTAATTTGATTAATTTCCTGGTTTCACATAGATTTCTTGACTATTTTCGTAAATTGTGTGATCTCAGACAATTTCTTTTAGTTTTTAGTTAAAACATGAACATTAACCATAAAGTCAGAGGTGTTTGCAAACCTGTGAGTTTGGTTTTATTGGAAATAAAGCAGTGTATTAAATCTGTTGCTGAGAGAAAAGTCAGAGCTGCTCCACTAACAATGAGCAGGACACGGTCTATAAATTTCTAAAATGTTGCCTGTTTGTGTGTATTTAGGTTTGATGGAAACTTCAATACCAACGTCTCCAAGACCATCTGCTGTGACAGACTTTCCCCCACCGTCAACAGCCGAGCTTTCAACCCTGGACGGGACCTCAACTCAGGTTTGTTAGACACACACACACACACACACACACACATATAAACACACACACATAAAACAGACACACACACATAAAACAGACAGACACAAACAGACACACACACATAAAACAGACACACACACACACACACACATAAAACAAACAGACACACACACATAAAACAGACACACACACACACACACATAAAACAGACAGACACACACACACACACACACACACACACACATAAAACAGACACACACACAAGTTGAAGCAACAAGAATGTGCTAGCATGCAGACTGACCTGGTTTAGCAAATGAAACATGGACATACCAAGCTTACACCGTTTAAACTGTGGAATCCTTTTTTCTGTTACTTTGAACTGCACGGCAAATGCTGAATAATTAAACAGTAGTTGCCATAGCAACCAGTTTTTAATTAAGAAGTTGTATTATCTTTTCTATTCTTCTAACACCCTGAAATGTTAGGAGAGGAGAGAACGTTGATCTGATCATTAGCTGTGCATGTCAGAAGAGATGTTTTACTGTCTCTCCTCTGCTTCCTCTCTCTTTCTTCCTTATCTGTTTCTGTCCCCCCCCCCCCCTATAATTTTATTTTTATAGCCGTAGATCAAACGCACTTTGTTCGACTTTGAACTATGTCTGCAATTGTATTCAGGTAGTATGTTTTTATCCTCCTGATTTTAAGGGCTCCGTCAGTCCTTTGTTTCTGTCATCACTTTACCTCAAATGAAATAGCATCAGTTGTCACAGAAATCAGGCGCATGTTGTTATGGTAAATATATATAACCTCAATATTGTCATCGCAAGTTGTCCGAGAGAGAGCAATGGAAGACAGTTTGATGGTGTTCCCATTACTCCCACAATACATTTATTGAGGCTCCAGATTGCATGAACATAATTGCAAAATATTACCATGTAAAACCCATATGTGTCTGCACCACATATGTCAGTCTGCATTTGATTAAGAAGAATTTTGACCAAACTGACTAAAAACTAAGCAAAAGCCAACTTTCCCCTGCTGTTTTTTCTGTTCTGCTGCCATCACTTGGTTAGTGGTATATTCCTTCTGCTTCCAAAGAAGAAATATCAAGCTGTACTGCATTTGTTCGTGACACATAAATCAGTGCTGTTTTTCTGGAGTACTTGAACCACTTTCCCTGTGTTTCTTAGCCTTTGTGTTTCAGTGCAGTCCACATTGTAAAATCAGTGCTGTTTGATTGTATGATCGCACAGATGAAAGCAAATTCTACCAGTCTCTGTAAGATTTGCGATTAAGATTGTGCACGTTTTCAAATCTCAAAAATGATCCTACAAAAGTTGTGAAATTGGAAGATTGTTACTTATTTTACTTATTTATCTGCCCAAAAACGAAAAAAATCCAGCTTCAATCTCCACTGAAACATTTCCTTTGAACTACATAGTGGTGGACTGTTATCATGTTTATCACTTTTATCATTTTATTTAGTTGATTTTATTCTGTTTGTATTTTATTCTGTTTGTATTTTATTCTGTTTTTTATTACATGTATTCTGTATTTTATGGTTAATTTTATTTAATTTCAATGCATTTTGCAAAGTGCATTGGGACCATGTCTTTTGGTGATTTTGCACTTTAAATAAAACTTGACGACTGTAGTTGAGCGCTTGCCTCCTTGCTGATCGTTGCTCTAACCAAACTTCTCAAATTTAAGTGTAAGTTGTAGATCATGTAATACACATTTGTGACCATTTTAAGTATAATTTCACTCCATACTTTTGACGTCTGACTATCTGAAAGTGTTATCCCCATTTGTTTGATTCATTGCACCCCCCCCCTATTTTTTCAAACATCCCAGCCTGCCCCTCTCTCTGCAAACCATTCATAATGACTGCCATTCATAACACGTCACCATCGGCTGGGTTTTATTTTCCTTACACGCCAGTCACGGCGAGTTCAAGTTACCCCTCTGCCTCCCCTCTCCACTCCCTGTCCCTCACACTCAGCCCTCCTTGACCCCCACGTTCCCAGCGTATTCATTCTCTCCAATTTGTCATTGTCCAGTCTAAACAAGCAGCTACGGAGGGGAAGGAGGGATGAAGCGGGTTAGGGAGTGAGGGATAATTGAGAGAGAGAGAGAGAGAATGATGAATGAAGGGTAAGAAAGGAAAAGGGAATGCTGACTGAAATGCAGTTTTGTATCAAGACTGAACTGAATTCTATTATATCTCCTATTTTACTTTTTTTTGGGAGGAAGGGGACAATATGAGAGAGATAGTGGATGTGGGAGGCATATGAGAGGGTGGGAGTCAGAGGACAAGTAGATGAGAGATGACTGCATTGGAGTGCTGTGTGATTAGAGGACTAGTTTGATCTATCGTCTTTCTTCTATCGGTTTTATTCCTTTTTCAGCCTTTCATCTTTTATAATTTCATCAATTTCTCTGGCTTAGGGATGTTATGTCACCCCCAGTTTGCTGTTGTTTCTCCAATAGTCTCTCTGTCTCATCTTATGTCTTGAATGGTTTCCAAAAGGCGCATTGCTTCAGGAACTAAACGGCGTGTGCGTACATATGTACATATTTATGTTTTTCCATCTTTTCCAACAACTTCAGGTTGGAGTGCCACTGAACAAATTGACTTGCATTCATCCTGCCAAGTTGTTTAGCTATACATGTGACAGGCTGGAAAACAAATTTACCAGAACTCTGGCTTGCCTTCATTTGCATAAAGTTAACAGAACGTCAACAGCAACAGGGGTTTATGGATAGCAAGGTCAATTTGTATGTCCATAACTAGTCCTGACTAAAAAATATTACTTATTATTTGATGGACTGCTGTGAATTTTTGCACAGAGATTCATGTTCTCTGGAAGATAAATCCTAATGATTTTGGTGATCCAATTACTTTCCATGTAGCGACACCAGCAGGTCAAAGTTTTTCCCTACATCTACTGGATTGGCAATTTTGTTCAGACATCCACGGTTCCCAGGCAATAAACCATAATGATTTTGTACTGGATTGATTTCCCTCAGGATGAATTTTAACAACGCTAACGATCCCTTCTCTTTCTGTGTAGTGCCTTTAGGTAAGATTTTAGTTTGTCTCATACTTTGGTTTAAGGCCAAATACCTGAAAAACTATTGATATTCCTATCAGCCTCTGGTGTTCTGTGTTTCATGCAAAGTTAAAGTTGGCATGCTAAGATGCAGAATATGGTAAACATTGCCATTGTGAGTATATTAGCAAGCTGATGTTATATTTAGCACAAAGCACCGCTGTGGCTAAGTTCAACCTCACATAGGCCTACCTCCTTTCCACCAACACAAATCTACTGCTAGTTCTGGACTAGCGCTAGTGCAAGTTCGTGAGAACCTTCTAAGAACCGGTGTGCTTTTCCTCAGGCTAGAGAGCCAACATATACCCACGTCATTGTGTCACTTTATATGTACACATCTCCATTGTGTTACACTGGGTATATGTTGGTCAGCTAACAATCAATGTTACGAACATAACATTGATGTGAGAAATTGGTGGCTATGCTTACTTTGGTAATGTTAGCTGACCAACAACTAGGTAGCCGCTAAACAGCTAAGAAATACAATGCTGGCTGGCAACAAATTTAAGTTAGTCTTGTTGGTCACGAAAATCCCAACCCCAGCCACTAACTTAAGCAGTTCTTAGTTCTAGTTCAGTTTTCCTGGCCGAGAGCTGGTGTTATGCCGAATTTTGCATGCTTGCCAAGAATTGCATGCAACTCCAAATACTGCTTTTAAACACTATAATATTCTTTGTGGGGTTCATCAGTGGTGATAGATGATTCAAAGTATATATCATTTAGAGTCGTTAATATTTTATCACACTTAGTAGAAGTAGCATTCATTGAGATTCAGCAAAAAGGTGTGGTGTTAACTGCTTTTGATCAATGTGTACAACAAAGAGTCTGAAAATGACCTTAAGAATTGGATGCATTATTCGACAAAACAGATGATATAGACTACCTGCCGATATTTGCATCCACCTCTTTCTTTTTTCGTGCGTTACCACCCGCGAGGTGCAGGAAATTCTCGGCAGTCATGCAGAATTCGGCAGAACACCTGCCCTTTGTTGTGGAAATGTATAGAACTGGTTTGAGATTGGGCACCTGCTCCATAGCATCCCTTGACCTGTCTTGGTTGGAAAGGGGGTGACAGAGCAGCTAGTGTGGCTGTAGACTACAGAAATAAATAAGGAAACTATGCTGTAATGTTACCATATTTTAAAAGTACAATGTATATAGAAACACTTGTTAATGAAGTTGGTTAAGAACACCATGTTTTCCCCTAGGTTTAAATAACAGTCTGTGTTCACACTGTGTTTTGCAAAATGAAAGAAACAGCATGAGAGCTACAATTGTGCATCCATGGTACTACCATATTACAGAACTTTTTAAAATTAGGTCAGAATGAAGATGCACATTGGTGGCACTTCAAGAAAATTCTTCAGATTTATGTGAAATATCTGGGTAATTTTATACTAGCATGGGATACTTACAGCTGGTACATATGGTGTGTTTATGTATGGATGTAGATGCAGATGTATCAAAACAGTTCATTACAAATTGTCAGTATTGTTAAGGTTAGAGGAAATCGTGGTAATTTGGGTCCTATTTCATGGCTTGTCCATCTGTTTCTGGGAAGATCTAAACAACGGTGGCAAAGTGGAGCACTGTAGCCTGACAGATGTATACAGAGTCCTTTTCCACTGTCAACACAACTGAGTGTTTCCTGTTTATATGAGCTTTACAGATGGATGGAGTGACTGGGCAGGGATGATGTATTATGGGTGACAGTGGTGTGCAAGAACCTGCCGTGTCTCAAAAAAGTAGTTCTTTGCCAAGTAGGCCTACATGTAGCCAGAAGTGCATTTAATTCTGTTTATGATGTTTGGCAGTTGGATGCTTTCTCAGTTGTTCTGTAACTTCTTTATTTGTGTACATACTTAATTTGTTTTGGATGTTAGTGTTAGTTGAATATTTGACATATGATTTTCCACCCCTCCCATAGAAAAGAATTAGCTTTGGCTCTTAGTATTGCTGTAAGTTTGGGAAAGTTCAAAACAGGTTCAAAACATCTCTTTAGCAGATGATTAATTTAATGTGATCACAAGCCAGGAACCACATTATGGGACTATTTAGACCTAGCTGACATTCAAGAATGGTGGTTAGCATGTCTGGCAAAGGCCGTAGACTTAATTAACTAGATATTTGAAATCCTACCCCCGTCTATGAAAACCTCCTACCAAGTAATAACAAATAGTCAAAAGATGGCAAAAGAAAAGTGAATGCATACATCTGCTAATGACCTACGGAAACCACAATGAATATTTATTAGTAGTACAGAATTAAATATTGTAATACCTGACTAAATCAAACTAAACTTTCTCTTAGAAACTGAAATTTATGGATTAGTTTCTATCAAAAAACAAGTAGTTGTCTCGTGTGGCTTCTAGATTTAAGCAAAGGCATAAAACCAAAATGTATAGCAAACTGTAATTTGTTTTATAGTCCTGTAGCTTGAGCTTCTCAATTGTTTCACCATGCCTGCATCTGATTTGTATCCTAACAAGATTTGTGCCATATTGTCAGAAAATCATAGGATTAGTTAATTTAGTGTGCTGTTGGAAATGTAAAGTTATTGGATTTGCCATTTTGCCATAGTTGGTCTGCATATCTAGATTCTTTAAAAAAATTAATTGCTGCAATACTGTTTCATGTTATTTTTATATTGATACAGCCTACTTTTATGACTATGATCTGTTTCTTCACTCTGTCTCTGGTTTTGCCTGGTAAAGGGCCAAAAGTTTCAATTTGTCCCCCCATGTCTTTGAGAAAGGCCGTTTTGTGTTGCAGTGAGTGGAAAGGAAGTTGCTGGCTTTGTGATGGGATCTCTGTGAAGATAATGTTGACTCTGTGACCGAGGAAAAAAAAAATAAAAAATCTGTTAGTTTTGAGCAAATACTTAGGCTCAATGTCTCTGCAGAGGTTGTTGCTAAGGCTGCTATTTCAGCTTGCCCTGCAGTCACAGTTATGACACACAGATCAGCATCTGGTGTCCACATGAAAGAAATGTACTCTATACTTCCCAGTAGTTGAATAGTTCAAACTTCTTTTTCTTCAAGGAGTTCATTTATTCTATGAGAGGTGTGAATGGGGAAACACATTATTTACATGTGTATACCACATGTCCAGTCAGAAAAGGCTGTATTTAATTCTTTATTCGTCTGAATATTCAGGTTTGCATAGATCTGAATTAGGTGTTTAAAGACCAGTAATAGAAAACCTGACCTAAAACCACATCACATCACATAGTTTCATACAGATGTGGACAGACAAAAAAACAACTGTTCTCTGCCTTCCAAATTTGAGATTTTATTTGTTTTTGAATTTACCCTCTAGTTAAAATGGTGCATCTGTATTAACTGTAGGTCTGATTAACAAAAGAACCATTCATTACATGTGTTTTTTTGCCCTATTTCCCCTCTGAATAATCTTATAGTCAGGGAGAGGACAGTCTGATGTCTTTCAGCAATAAACATATTTTAATTGTCTATCGTCATTTCCATTCAGTCACATAACTGAAAATTTCCATGTGTCGGGTAAAAACTACAGTGCATACTATACTAATAGCATGATACACAAACACAAGGAGTGTGGTTTTTATATATAATTTTTTTATTGATGTAATCATGTGAGTGGTTTCTCTCACTCAATGTGTGATTCACACAGGAAACACAGTTGACACCTAAATTTTGAAAGGAGTTGTGGTGCTGTATTTGTGCTTCCTTGGTCTTTATTCTCCCTGTGTCTTCCTTCTTTCTCCCTTTATCCTTCCCTCTTTTTTAACGTGTCCCTCTTTGTCTCTTCTCTCTACAGTGTTGGCAGACAACCTGAAGTCCAACCCGGGTATAAAGTGGCAGTACTTCAGCTTGGAGGAGGGCATCTTCACAGTCTTCCCTGCCCACAAGTTCCAATGCAAAGGAAGTTATGAACACCGCAGCAGGTATTCTTCAACTTCTCCTTTTGTTTAACATTTGGTGTTCTAAATTATTGTCAAATTCAATCAAAGTTACTGCCAAGCACACAATTTGTCAACAGATATCACACACATAGCCAAGAATCAGAACAGGCTGGCTGAGGTTAAAACTACATCAACTTGTTCCTGCCCTCGTCCTCCTCACCCTCTCTACTACTCCTGTTCCTCACCCCTCCTCCCTGTTATCTGTGTTGGGGTGGCCCAGAGGGCAAGTTGATGGCACGCCGCCCTCACACACCCTGACCACACATGTCTTTGACTCTGTACACTAAAGCCTGTTGGAATTTCACACCTCCAATGTTGTGGGTTTTTTTGTGGCCACGGCTGAAAGAATCTCTTTCTCTCATCTTGTCTTTTGTATATTTTGTCACCCTGGTGCATTTTGCATTTTCTTCTCACTTTTTTTAATCATGTCTTTTGGATTCTTTTTTCTTGCTCTTCAAGTCAGTGAGCTGGCATATAGCCATGAGAGAAACAACATTTCTTGGCTTGCTTTAAAGTGTGAATGAGGCTTTGTGAGTACACCACTCCCCTTGTCCACCCTGTGTCTCCTTGTCCAGTAGACCACACACGCACACAGGCGCCCAATACCCTCTGCACCTGTCCGTACACCACCAAGCTGATCATCTACGTACATTAACACATACACCAAATATAAAAACTATTGTGGAAAAGTTCAATGTTAGCACCACAGATTAAAGGCACAGGAAACCTTTTCCAGGTATTTTAATGAACTGATTAGAGCAAGTAAGTTACTGCTTTCTGTAAACATTTTCTCCAGCACACAGAAAACTACAGTACATCGTGTATTTTTCATATTTAATGGATTTGAGTTTTATTTTTACTGCACAGATGCTCTTACAGTATGTGTTCATATTCTCTTGGGTTGAGGGTCATATATTACTGTGCAGTCAAGTGTCTGATCCTGACATGAATTTGAGTATTTGTACATATATTCCTGCAGGCCTGTGTATGTGTCTTCAGTGCGTCCCCAGTCTAAACACATCGTGGTGATGGTGGACCACGGAGCGTCTGTAACTGACACCCAGCTTCAGATCGCCCGAGACTCTGCGCTGGTCATCCTCAACGCCATAGATGAACATGACAAGGTCAGTGAAAGGGAATAGAGCTTGCCTCACTTTTCTTGCTTTATTAAGAAGAGTGCATATTTAGAGGTTTGCAGAGCACCAAATATGCTTAAATGCTTTTGAAAATCAAACAAACCACTAACTTTTTGAGTCGCTGGTGTGTTACTTCAACAAACATGTTTTTTTTTATTAATCTCATTTGCACTTCCCTCCAGATCTCCATTTTGTCAGTGGCAGAGACGGTTCGCTCTTGTTCTCTGGACCAGTGCTATAAGAGTCTGCTCTCTCCAGCCACCAGTGAGACCAAGAGGAAGATGAGCACCTTCATCTCCAACATCAAGGCCTCTGATGGAGCCACACAGCATGCAGTGGGCTTCCAGAAGGCCTTCCAGCTGCTCCGAAACACCAGCAGTCTCTGCAAACATAGTACCAGTAAGAAAACAATATTGTGGCGGCACTGTATTTTAAGAATGTGCACAGTTGTCTTATGTGCTACCCTAGTGATCAATTCCATATCTTGTGCTGCAATTGACATGAGTTTCGCGTTTGTTTCTGTCTTCTATCAGCCACAGACATGGTGATCATCTACTTGTCGTCTGGTATCACATCTCGCGAGTCATCAGAGCAGGACAAGAGAGCGACGCTCAGCGTGGTCAGAGAGGAGAACCGACACCTGAACAACTCTGTTATGATCCTCACCTATGCTCTCATGAATGGTATGTCATTTGTATTGAAGACTCTTTTCTTAAGGAGTGGTTTTAATTGGCTTGTGGTTTGTTCTTGTGGTTTGTTCTCATGCAAGACACTATTGCAGCTAATGATCGCAAAGTACTGGAGACAAAATGCAAATAAGATGCTGATTTCCCTCAACAATAATTGGTTAAACATGAATGTTAAGCTGTGAATGTGCAAAAATCATTGTAGATTTAATAAAAAAAAAACAACAACATTTTCCCATTTTTTTATATAAAACGATTTGTTTTGACAAATAAGATTCAAAAGTTTTTTTCTAAACCCTACTTTCTAAGTGTGAATGTAAAAGCACACAAATTATGTTGTTTGTGTCTAAATTTGTGTGTTAGATATCCTCTCTCTATCTTCTTGGGCACAATGTGCTCAAGAGAAGACTGAAGGTTAGAGAGGTGCTCAGAAACCTCAAAGGCTTTTTATTCTGTGTGTGTGTTGTAGTGGTGCTTCCTTTTCCCATTTTAATTGTCCTTGCCCATCCATCTGCCTCCTCTAATTCCGGCCTCCCTCTGCAACACACACACACACTGAGCAAGCATAAGTCCACCATTAATACAAATCGTTTTTGCATCTGAGAATGTAAATGAGGTACATCTAAGAGAGGAGAGAGTGAGACTTCAAAAGGAATACTGCTCAATCTGTGTGTGACTGACAGAGGACCTTGGCTGTTAAAAGAGCTCCATGATGAAAAGGATGCAGAGATCTATCGCCCTCTGAGTTTATTAGCATTGCATATCCAAAAAAACATTTGTATTGTTGCTGACGCTGCTGCACACAGCTGCACGGCCCACTGTGGGTGGGTGTGTCTTATTCCCTACATCCCCTGCCAAATGTGAAGTGCTGATTGTTCAAGGAGATCAGCAGTCCCTTGGCAGTATAAAGCACAGTTGTGTGTGTGTGTGTGTGTGTGTGTGTGTGTGTGTGTGTGTGTGTGTATCAGATGCCCACCCCTCTCGCCAAAACTGTGTATGGTAGCCTGAATAAACTGCTCTTTGGTCAGCTAGAGTATGGTTTCTGCCCTGCATGCTGATCATGATTTGCTTACCCGTTGTTTTGTTTATTGTAAAAATACAATGCATAAATTGTCAGAAAATACTGAAAAATCACTTTCCCAGAGCACAAAATTATGTTAAATTGTTTTTATAGGACCATTGCCCAAAGACATTAAGTGTACAATCATATAAAATGGAAAAAAAACAGCAAACCATTTGAGCATTCACATTTGAGAAGATGCTTTGGCTTTTTTTGTTCGATAAATGACTGAAACGATGAATTTATCTTTTGTTGATTGGTTGTTGATTCATTTTTGAATTTTCATCCAAGCATGTAACAGACTAAAATGTTTCAGCAAAAGCTGCGATTTTGTTGATTTGATCTGATTGTAAGCCCGTTTATCACAGAAATTGTGAGGCAGCCAGTTGCATTGCATTCAATTTCTCTTCAGTCATGTTTGCTTTAAGGCAACTCTAGTACACACACTTTAAGTCTTATCTCCCCTACCTCCTCTGAAGTACCTCTTAGACACTGTTGGTCTAAAACAGCACATAAATTGAGACAGTGGATGAAGATGGACTGATAACCTTGCATACTGTTAACCTACTGTTGTAAGGAATGATGAGGAAAGATGCAACACAGGCCGTGTAAGGTTCAACATAATTACCACAAAAATAGCCCATAATAGCATGTAGTTGCGTAGTTATTATTCAGGCCATTTATACCGTTTCGTTGTGACCTGCTGACAAACATTCAGGGTTCCCAGCCCGCACGATGCACGTTTCAAATATTCCGAAATGGCCATTGCATATTTTATTGTATGTTTGTCAGTTCCCTAAGATACATATACGGCATTTTCGTAACTGTAAACAGAACTGTTTGTTTACAATAAATCTTCACTTGGTAACATTTAAGAGATAGACTTTCCTAAAAACTCAAACAGTGGAAAAATGTTGATATGAGGGATCATCAAACGTATCATAGAAAAAAGAGTGGAAATAGATATTCCCTCATAAATTAAAGTCAACATTAACCTGTGCTGTCAGCAAAATATCTCCTTTTTATGTTTGTTTGACATTGCCACCCATGACGACATTGACGCCCAGCCGCCAGTCGCCCCGGCGTGATGACCAGCAGAGCAGAGCCTTGGCATTAAAAAGAGATTCTGCTGTAATCCAGTCAATGATTGGATACTGGCAGACGCTCTCTGCTCTATCCTTTCCCAGTAGGTTGCGGGATGCCAAATGTTCCAGGTGACAGCTGTAGGGGCTAGCTATGGTTATCCATTTCTCTAAATGACCTTATGAAGCTTGGAAAGATACTCCTGTGTCTGAGCTGTGCATTAACGTCTCAGCTGCATATTTTCTTTAAAGTGATGAGGGATTTATTCAGGACATGTTCTCAGAGCTTCACACATAACAATTGGGTTCGGCAGATGTATGGGACTGTGTGAACAAAGCTTACAAAGATCATGATGCAGGATCACAAGTCAGGGCCTGCATGTATGAAATATCTCTGCTGCTAATGCCAAATAAGTTTGGGAAATCCATGTGGTAATGTATAGTATGCACTTTGATTAATGATCCAGTTTAATGCAAGCCTCTTGCTGCGTAACCATGCACAATTTGTTGTTTATTTTTCTTCTTAAGTGAGGTTCTGTTTTTTCATAATCTGTATTTTATTCAGTCTTATGTGGGTTTGAATAAAAACATAAAAATAATAATAAAAACTGCACTGGGTTAAATAAATCTTTAATTTTAAAGATTCTTGATGAATTCAGCCCCTGTTTGGTGGCAGGAGTGTGATTTCTTTTTTTCCAGCTTCTTGAAGGAGTAGGATTTTTGGGTTTTTTTTTTTTACAGCTAAAGCAACAGTGGGTTGCCTTTTATAATAAGAATTTGAGTCATGCGGTGAAAAACTCTTTTTAACTCCTTTCAACCACTCCCTCCTCTTTTCATTTGCACAGTTAGCCTGTTCAATAGACCTTTAGTCATGCCATCAGTTATGGATTTGTTCTTAATGTCCCTGCTTGATTAAATCAAACTAATTCTGTCATCGACTGTGCCTCCCAATACTAAACTAATTTTCTGTCCCACTCCCTCCCTCTTCAGAGGGAGTAACAGGCCTGAAGGAGCTGGCCTTCCTGAGGGATCTTGCGGAGCAAAATTCATTGAAATACAGTGTTGAGCGAATGTCTGACCGAGACCGCTCCTTTGTGGCGTCCTCGTCGGGATCAGCAGGAGCTTCCATGATGCCGGTGATGAAGGGAAGCATGATGGTACTAAATCAGCTGAGCAACCTGGAGACAACAGTAGGCCGTTTCTACATTAACCTGCCCAATCGCATGATTGACCTGGCCCGCTTCAGCCTGCCCTACTCTGACCCCATGGGAGATGGTGAGTTGTTTGGACACAACCAGACGCAGTGTCTGGATTTACATTGTGGGCCAGATAGCAAAGATTCTCATCCAGAACAAGTTTAGATGGATAGATTATAAATTGACATGAATTGCAATTACTTAAAACTTGAAGGAATAGTTTGACCTTTTAAAAAATTTGCTTATTCACTTTCTTGCCAAGAGTTAGATAAGAAGATTGACACCACAATATATTTGTATGCTTGACACGAAGCCAGCAGACAATTAGTTTAGCTTAGCATCAGTCAGGCTAGCTGTTTCCCCCTGCTTCCAGTCTTTACACAAAGCTAAGCTAATTAGCTGCTTGCTCTAGGTTCATATTTATTGTACAGACATGAGACTTGTGTTGATCTTTTCATATAACTCTGCAAAAAGTGAATAACCGTATTTCCCAAAATGTCATTTAATAACACTTTTACTGAAGGCTATTTGTATTCTGCACAGAAATGCATTAAATGAGCTCAACAGAATTAAATTGCAAACACTCAATAAACTCAAAGGAATGAGCTTGGTAAACCTCTGATGTTGCATGAACTCTGCTTAGAATCTTGTTCTTCTTTCTCCAGGGTTTATTATGACTGTGAGCCGGCCCTGTTATTTCGGTAACCTGCTCCTGGGGGTGGTTGGGGTTGATGTGAACCTGGCCTACATCTTGGAGGATGTCACCTACTACCAAGACTCACTGGCATCATACACATTCCTCATTGACAACAAAGGTCCGTCACATAGAGACAGGCGAGGTGGTAGTAATCAGCTGAGTGCAAACATTTTTGTTGGACTCCTGACTCTCCCAAACATGCATACTCCCATATTCATCACATAAAAAATAGCAGGACTATCTACCACAGTACAGGAAATGGGGGGCCTTTTGTAACTTGTGGCCACATGAACATTGTTTGAAGGTTTACAGCCCTAATGCATTTAAATCATGACAGCCTGTTCTTTATATAAAGTTTTCCCCATGTGCATTACAGGTCTACGAGGTAGTACAACAAACAGCAGCAGAACAAATCAGTCGTTCATTGCGTGTTTCTCAGATTTCTAAGCCAGTACAAAAACAAGCAATAATCAGGAATAATCTTGCTATGACCTACAAGTCCAACAGACTCCAGTGGTCTGCAAAACATTTCTGCGTTTATTCAGGGTATCATTCTCTATTAGTCACAGCCTTAGAGAAACACTCTAGTTAGAAGAGAGTACATTTTGGTGGTCTTGTTTCACACGTAAGTGGAATTACACTTTATTTTGTCTGTCTAGACTTCCTCCTCAGCCATTATCCCTTATTAGACTTAATTGACATCTTCTTGGTAGCACTGGCACTTCTTTGGCATTTCATTCTCTGTTGAGCCATGCCTCAGTGCGTTGCCACAGTCCAGGGCGGTAGTGCTCATGTCCGGTCTTGGTTTGTTTTGGCGTAGCTGAGGGGGTCAGGACTAAACCACTGGTGCTGTACAGCAGGTAAGTTGTGCTTTGTAGGTCAGAGGGGTTTTGCTAGATGGCACTATAGCTACAGATTGGTTCCCCTTACTTATACTAAGTAATATTGGCTGCAATATTACTTTTTGAAAATTAACAACTAAAGATGGAAACTGAAATAAAATTTAAAAAATTGTGAGAAACTTAAACTGAGTTTTTATTGCATTTACTGTTAAAACATAGGTAGTATCATTTAGAGTGAGAGTTTAATTGAAAAATGTGAGTATAGGTGAAGTGTGTATGTTTTTGGGGTCATGCTAATAGGAGGCAAGAAGAAGGGATGATTAAAACAAGCTGGAACAAGACATGGTTGAAATGAAAGGTTGCATGACAGGTAGAGGAGTGGGGAAATATTTAGTAGGGTGTGAGGGAGGAGAGAGATGAGGTGAAATACAGTGGAGCAAAAGATGAAATCTAGGCAGACTAACTGACATTTACTGTGGATGGTTTAAATAAGTGTTCAGCATCAGCACCTTTTCACTATTAAACCATAGACTGTATTAAACCTAATTATTGCAAGTTAATTTTTGCAGCTGTGTTGCTCATCTGCTATACAATGTCTCTTTTTTCCCTCTTCCAAAATGTTTGTTATTCTAATAAATATGCCATCAAATTATAGCTTATTAGTGCAGCAACTCGAAACACATTGACGAATGAGTCCCATTAAACTCACTCAAATCGTCTGCTGCCAATTACAGGGCAGGTAAATACAATTAGGAAAATGCAACACTGACAAGAGGGTTCTGGGCCTGAAACTAACAAGAATAGCAATAGCATCAGTAAATTGGAAATATTTTGTATTATTTTTAATATAAGAGGCTGATCAGAATTAAGCAAGCCTGTGCCTAAACTGGATCATGGATAGATTTATGTATAATTTAAATAAATGTTCCGGTCCTCGCTGTGTGTACTGCAGTTTGCCGTATGTGGACAGAGATGCCTTGTCTAATACAGGGGGTCAATTCTTCTTAAAGAGTGTGAGACACCACACATGCTGCTTCTCTGATAAACTGACACACTCCCTTTGTCAAATGTACAGTGTAATCGAACTGCGTAAGAAAAACACAATATTTTGTTTATTTACTTCTTTTAAAACAGATGGGCTTCCAGTCCAGTATCTTCAGTGCTTTTTGGCCCTCCCAAAATGATTACTGCTGCTGTTAAGAGCTGTGTCTATCACAGCAGTACACTTCTTAGAACCCCCAGAGTATTGTTTCCTACCGAGCGTCTTTCGAATAGTTTGTTGTCCTTCTCAGGGGAATTAAAGATTTTGGATAGAGCGCAGTATTTAAATGAGCATCCACTTTGCTTTGTGCTGCAGCATTGTAGCATCAACAGCTTTATATTATAAGGACTATATGCTGCCTAATGTAAATATAGAGTGTGATACAGCAACCGCCCTCCATTGTTTTTTGGGTGAAGCTAAGCATAATGTGGGCAAAACCACAAAATTCCCTGCAGGCCCATAATAGATGTTTTAATGCTGTATGCAGATTTAGTTTTGGTCTTTGAATGTTGTTTTTGTTTTAGTATGAATAGGCACTAATTAATGATGTTACTGTTGTCAACTTGTCTGATTTCCCAGGTTACACCCTGATGCATCCATCACTGACACAGCCCTACCTGATGACAGAGCCTCCCCTGCACACTGACATTATCCACTACGAGAATATCCCAGCATTCCCTGCTGTCCGACAGAACATCCTTGGGTAAAGTTTATTTCAGCTTTAAAAGCCATTTAAAAATTCCTCCAGCCATGGATACACACATAACAAATTTTAAGTATGCTTTATGCTGTTTTAATACTGTGTATTTCTGGCAGCCTCCCTCTGGGCAGTCAGGTCATTACCGTGCCAGTCAACTCGTCTCTGTCCTGGCACACCAACAGACTCAGGGACAACAGCAAAGACGCTTACAACGTCAGCTACGCCTGGAAACTGGTAGGTGTAACATGGTAGACCTTGTAGAGACCAAGGAGGTGTGTTCACTGGAGACATTTAACTTCACTGTCCTGCACTTTGCCTTCAGCCTGGACTGAACAATGAACTTTCTGCTCACTGTTTTTACACTTGTATACACCCACAAATACGCAAACTAAGTGTATACATACTTCAAGTCCATATAGTACACATAGCATCATGTTTTTCTAATAATTTCCCCAAAGAACAAAAATCAGTTCAATTAAGCAGAAAAATACAATATTTAGTTGCCAGGGAATAATTGTAAATTAACACAGGTGAAGATAGATATTATTAACTGGCAGTTATTTTTTTCTGCATTTGAATACCAGTTGTCTTAAGTAAATGTGAGCAAAAGGATTGTATATTTAAAGTAGAACAAGCACCTACTCACTCAGTCAGAGCAGAGACAAATGATCTTTGGATCTGGGCCAATGGGCCATTGTGATGGTGGGAGAATAACTATCTCATATACTGCTTCTCTATCTTCCATTTCTGTCTATAGCTCTTTATCACTACTGTACTGCTGTCTAAAAGCAGTATGGAGATTGATGCTCCCAGCCTTTATGTCTCCACTAAACCTTCGCCACCTTAAATTAGTCTATGTAATAAAAAGTGCTTCCACACCCAGCAACTGTCTCTCCCTTGAATCTGCTTTTCCTCTCAGGCCCAGAAGTGTCATGTTTTAGGAACAAATGGCAACAGAACAGCAATAACGTCACGCTGTACTGAGTCTTTTTGCTTTCTGACATTTAGATTTTGGCAGGCGAAAAAATATCACACTTAATTTAGACATTTCGCTTTTAGCCTTTTTTAAAAGCTTTTGACATTTTGTTTTTTTCACATAGGCACAAGAGTTCAAACACGTCACCTTTGCCATGAGTTTGGCAGCTGTCTCTGTTTTTTCAAAAATGAACTCTCCAGAGCCAGACAAAATGGTAAATTGGCCTAGAAAGAAAGAAAATTGAGAAGTCTTTGTTTCCCATGCAATTCTCTCCTTTTGTAATCAGAATCAGAAACTGCTTTATTGCCATGTAGTTTTTACACGTACAAGGACTTTGCTGTGGTGACTAGGTGCCAGACCTAAACATAAGACAAATAATATCCAGGGGCTCCTTTATGAGTATATGCTATTGTTAATTTTTATGCTTGTAACCAGAATTACAAGGTTATTTTGAAGCTGCTGGGTCTTTCTGAAATTTGTAATACTGTTTGACACTTTGCATGATTTAAAAACAAAATCTCAGAATTTAGGACCAGACTAGCTCTGCATGGTACAGAGATATGTGTTAGTTTGAAGTAGAATGAATGGGAAAGGTGAAAGCCATAGACAGGTTAAGAAAGTCAGGAATGTTGACAATAACAAAAATATTTAAAATCATCAGCTTCATCCTCCACCCCCTGCCTTGTCTTCTAGGTTCAGGACACATCATTCATCCTGTGCATCGTGTATGTGCAGCCTGAGATCCCAGTGAAGCAGCTGAAGAACCTGAACACAGCTCCTAGCTCCAAGCTACTGTACCATCGTTTAGACCTGCTGGGACAGCCCAGTTCGTGCCTGCACTTCAAACAGCTTGCCACAGTTGGTAAGGAAAAGCATCAAATCAACAGCACTGGACTAATATACGTGTCTACAAACTTTATTTTTATCCATAATCAGCTCTAAAAGATTGATTAGCATCTCTGACTGTCCCTTTTCCCCATTCTCTTTCCCAGAGTCCCCCACTGTGATGTTGGCAGCTGGCAGTTTCTCCTCTCCCTACGAGCACCTCAGTCAGCCAGAAACAAAGCGCATGGTGGAGCACTACACCGCCTACCTGAGTGATAACACCAGGCTCATAGCCAACCCAGGCCTCAAGGTACACAAGCATGGGAACACAGATGCAACTCACGGCCGAGACCAGCACACACAAGGTTAATCTTGTTTACCTGACCAACACATGGCATATAGCCAGGCCTGCGGTCCGATTACAGACATTTGCGAATATTCACATTTTAATGGGCCCCAAGATAGTTAAAGTGTTTAGAAGTACTTAATTAATAAAGCTTTTATTCTATTTCTTACAATGTCTGGTAGGCACATTTTCATTTACTTACATTACAGCTAAAAATCAACATTTTAAATGAAGCTCTGCACCTTTCAAAAGAGGACAAACCCCCCACATGGTTTGGCAGTCTGTGTGCATTCCTGTCCTGGTGGGAGTAGGGGTTTAGAGTTTGAACTCTAAGCCCCAGTCCCGACTCTGATTCCCAGGCTAGTCTTAAAGGCCCCCCTCCAGTGACCCATCACCCCTTTCAAAGTGTCTTTGAAAATAGTACTGAGATGCGATTTTACAGGGTGTTTTTCAGGGCTTTAGGCCTAATGGAGTCCCAGTTATTCCTAAATACCGGTTGTCTGAGCCTTGATTTGTGTGATTTCTTAATTATTATCACAGTAGATCTTAAATAAAACATGTATCATTATCTTTAGCAGCAATACGGTACAATTTAGTGTACAACATTTCAACTTTAGGTGTGTTTAAATTTGCAGGTGTTACTTTTTAATTTTAATTTTGTTTGTGGGTAAACTGGAGGCAAACTTGCCCAAAAGTTTAGCCAACTCTTTCAGGCCTACACCAGATAAACTGTTCTACTCCTTCCTGAACTTTTTTCTCCCCTCCTTGTTTACCTCCTCCTTCATTTTCTATCTCATTCACCATTCTTTCCACCTTCACTGTCCCTCTTCTCTCTGTCTCCCTCCGTTCCTTCATCCTTTCCCCTCTGCAGTCTTCTGTCAGGAACGAAGTTATGGCGACCAGTCATGTCACGGATGAGTGGATGACACTAATGGAAATGAGTAGCCTCAACTGCTACATTGTGCGTCGTTACATAGCAACGCCTAGTGGGGTGCTCCGGATTTACCCAGGATCACTGATGGACAAAGCCTTCGACCCGACCCGCAGACAATGGTGAGGCTTACTTTGGACGGTGTGAAGGGGGACACAGGAGTGAAGATGTGTGTGAGTCTTAGGGTAGTTAAAGGGAATGAGCATGAAAAGATTTTAACACAGTGTTTCAAAAAGGTTTTTTGTCATGTTGTATTATTCTGGCAATTTTGGGTTTTTCTAGTTGGGATATTTATCAACACATTGTGTAGAGCTGTGTCAGTATGCACAAGGCTTTTTTGTGGTATCCATTAAAAGATGACATTTATAGTGCCACTTTTACAGTTCAGCCCTTGGCAAGTGTTGTGCAAATGTCAATCCTGAGTTTCAACCTTTTTTATTTTTTTTACTACTTTACTGAAACAAATGTATACACAGAGTAATCAACAGCTTTTTCTAACAGCTTTTTGTTGGTATATTCAGCTCTTGACATATAAAATTTTGTATTAAATTTTGAAGATATTTTTTTCAATGTGAAAATCCTGTTTGTCCAAAAGTTTGTTAGCTAAAAGTGTAGGTGAACGTATTTATTTATAATGCATAGCCAAAAATACTAGACAGGCAGTGAGTGGCGACTGTGTGAATCGTTTCTGTAACGTTAGGCGCAGGGATCTTCCGTGCGCCTATTTCACTCTTAAACGCTCCAAAAAATAGATCCGTGCGACCCGGAAAAAGATTTACGAACTACCGACCGTAATCTCCCACCCCGCCGGACCCTCAATGATAATCGTCCAAAACATAGTCGGAGTGGCGCTCAGGAGTAACGGGATTAACCCGGTTGGCCGTTCGCTCTGTGGCCACCTGAACAGCCCCGTTCCTGAAAAACAAGAGCGAGATGCGGTAAGACAGAAGACAACAGGGAAAATTCAAGGAGCGTGTGGGTTTGGCTAATGTTAGCTGGCTATTTAGCTAAATCGGTGCCTTTTATTAAAACACATTCAACTTTTCATAAAGTCGATGCTCTCGTCAGTGTCAGTTTTTGTGAACAGATCAATCACAGCCTGGATAGAGCGTGCTGCAGCAAACTGATCATCGATGTTGAACTCATTGTTCTGCATAAACGGTTATGATTATTGATGAGTTAGTAGCCTGATCAAAATCAAGGTTGGAGACTATCACGTAGCCTAGAGCATTTTTCTTGCACAAAGTTAATGAATAAAAAAACAACCCCAAACTGAAACAGCTGTAATTTGAATTAATATTATACTAGTGGTAAGTTATATACTATTATATGAAATTATATTGAATATAGTAACATAATGAATATATTAATATCAAACTTAAAGTTTACTATTACATTAACAATATACTTTTAATTTAATGTTATAATATTATACTAATACAGTCATTTAGACTAGTTCTTCCTCCAGGTTGTGCCTGTGCTACACAGCCTACAGTACTTAAGTTATTCATCACTCAGTTTATTCTCTTCATCTTTGTTCCCTCCTGCCCTATTTGAATTTTGTTGTATTGATCAAGTGGTCAATGAAGGTTATCACATATGATTGCAGGCAAGCTTACATTATCTAGTTTAAACCAACTAAAACACAAAATCACACTGTGTTTCACATGATTTACTGTAATGTTGCGTACATAAACGTCATATCTTATGTAAGACAGTTGCTTTTCTCATCAAATCTGACCAGTCCTTCACATAGAAAACTGTTGGTCCATACAGGCTGTTATAGGCAACTGAGAAAGTTGGTGAATGCCTCAATTTTTAGGTGGCGTACCAACCTGATGACATATAGGCAATAAATATGTTATAAATATATTTAAATTCCTTTTAAAAACTCAAAAATTTCCCTTTTAAAGGTGTGTGGCTGATTTAATCGGTTACAGCTCAAAGTAGCGCGGCAGTCTTAAAATATGTTGAAAAAGTCTTAAAAAGGTATTGAATTTTACTTCAAGATTCCTGTATATACTCTGAAATAGTATTTAGATTAATCAGATAAAGCTGAGAGCAAGAATTCCTGTCATATTTAATTTACTTTGTTAGCGAGGAAAAATGAAGACTGTCAAAATAACCTTCTGCCTGTGTAATGTATTGTGTAGGTACCAGCATGCTGTGGCTAACCCCGGCCTCATCACCTTCACTGGACCGTACCTTGATGTGGGTGGGGCGGGCTATGTTGTCACCATTAGCCACACCATCCATGCTTCCAGGTAAGAAGATGTATTTTTTTTTACCATAGTAAACCCTCTCTGACATCTCATTTTTTACTGCGCCAGAGGAAATCAGCTCATACAAATGAAGTGTCTTGCTGAATAAGTAGCTGCAGAATAAAAATGCTAATTTTAAAGTGAGACTGTGTAACTTTTTAAAGAAGAAATAACATAATCTCCATCTTACAAATGAAAAGTTGTAGTCACTAGCAGTAAAACTCAGCCTTTCTCAATTCAATACTTTCTCTATTCTTTTGCTGCTACAGGTTTACTTGGTTTCATATGACCAGTAGCTTATTCTGGCTAATGTTAGGTTGTTGGCAAACTTTAGACAGATACTGCTGTGTAACTGACATTGCTGAGTCAGTTCACTAACTTTATGACTCTTCTCTGTTTGTGCTACTGTTGTACACTGTTTTAGCAAGTCACAACGTTACATTTCAGTGGTTTTAAAAGAAAAGTGAAACAGGACATAAATACGGCAAACCTCATTAGGAGACAGCTTTTCTGATTGTGGTCCAGTTCCACTTAGACTTGTTATGTAAGGATGAAGCAGCTAATTCAAGAAAATCTAAGGAAAGAAGGAAACAACGTATGTGTCGTCATCCTGTATTTGAGATTGAACTCTTTGTTTAGCTGTCTGGCTCAAAACATTACTGTTTTCATTCACTCCAACCGCTCTCATAAAGAGGCAGCTGTTTTCAGCATAAAGGCTCTAAAAACACAACTACTAGCGACTAGCTGGTGAACACAGTGGAGCAGCTAATGAACCAGATATTTCCCTCAGAAGCAGGTAGAGACCACAAAATCTAAAAGAGAGTGAATATTGGACTTGTGTTTGCCAGGTGGTCAGAAACACAATTTCAAATGAATGATAATGTTGCTCTGTGTCTGCTGGATGTGTAAATAAGCAGCTGTTTAACTTCTGGTGATGTGTTGTTTCCACTGCCCAAAAGTGGCACAAAAAAAATTAAGAGTTATTGCAGCTTTAAGCATTTCACACTTAACAAATTTGTGTGAATTTTTACATAATGGCAATAAAATGATCAGCTATCCGTATTAGATATTGCTCATAAACAGATTCACTGTTCTTATGAGCCAAGACATCAGTGTGGGCTGTTAGGCTCTCAGCCCGGAAGTTGTTTCAGCAGAGCGCACTGTCTCTGAAGACCAGAGATAATTTGTAGGAGATTAGTTGACCATTTTTGCTTTAGAGCTGCGTAGTGAGTGACATAATATCCCTCAACCAAATGGTCTGGGGTCCAGTCACAGTTATCTTCAAGTATCTGCTCTTCCAAAGGGGCCCCCCAAGCAAGCCACTCTATTCCAACCACCTCATTGAGCCCTGAAGTGAAATGTTCCACCCCAGTGCTTCGGCCAATTTTTATAGATGTTTTGGACACAGCCTCTTTGAGTTGGAGGCTTTAAGAAGCCTGTAATTGTGGCCAAGATTAAAGTGTTTATCCCTCTAGTTGTGTGAGCTCCAAATGCAACCACCATAGCAGTATGGTCCATGCAAATTTGAGTATACACATAAACATTCAGTATCTGTGTGTTTGATAAGCTAGGATTAGTGTGTTGATGACGGGCTCAGTGAGCATAACATTGCACAGTCTAGTGTGTGTAAACACCGGTTTGAAGAGAAGAATGGAATTATCTTTTAGCTGGAGTGTAAACATTTATATTATCCTAAAGGTCAGTAGAGGTGTGAACTAAGGACTGTACGATGTAACTGATAATTACTTCGGTCAGCATACAGTGTTAACACACAATCACAGCAAACAATTTACCAGAACAGTTTAACTTTTTCCACATCATTTAAAAAGTATAGTAAAATATCTTTTGTGATGTTTTTTGTGCTCTTTTCATTTTCTCTCTCTGTCTGCTTCTCTGTCATTAGCTCTCAGATGGCCCCTGGTTATGCTATTGCAGTGATGGGTATAGACTTCACTCTACGCTACTTCTATAAGGTCCTGCTGGACCTGCTGCCCATCTGCAACCAGGACAAGGGCAACAAGATCAGGTAGGAAGAGGATAGATTGAAATGGTTGGCTGAATTGTCTTCTTTTTTTAATCTTCTGTTCTTCATGCATATCTTTTCTTCTTTTTCCTTTATCCCAGAATTTATTTGGAGGGTGGCTAAACTTATGTTTTACTGAGCGAAAATTAAATTTGCAGAGAGATGAAGAAAAATGAAAGGGAAGAAGAGATAAGCTGATTATGATGGCATTCCTGCTGGAGATGTGACGTTGCTGCTGTCTCAGTCCTACATTCATTCTTCAGCTTTTATGTTTCCCTTTTTTGTTTATTTCCCCATTATCCTTTTTCTTCCACCCCCTCCTCTCCAAGTCCCATCCCATCACCCCCCTCCACTTCCTCCATGCTCTTTCTGTTGGTGTTCAGTAGCCATATAAAACAGGATTAGCCCAAAGGGGGTGTGGAGTAGAGAGAAGCAGTAGCCAGATACTGCTAAAAAGGAGTAGAGGGAAGTAGAATGGAGCTGTATTATGCAGGCTGAAGTTAAATTAAGCACTAGGAGAAAAGAGGGATGTATAAAAAAAGTGGTCAATAATTGATGAATGAGAACTGGTATGACTCTAATGTAAGTGTACATGTATTTTCTTGGTCCTAACCAACCCTTTGTCTTCAACCCTCAATGAATTGCATAATTTGTGTGTACATTGTAGGTGCTTCATAATGGAGGACAGAGGGTACCTTGTAGCTCACCCCACTCTCATTGACCCCAAAGGTCATGCCCCTGCAGAACAACAGCACATCACACACAAGGTAAAGGACCTCTGTTTATTATACAAATAAAATAAAAAAATCCATAATAACAACGTTAAGAGTAATGTTTATAATAAATATGACTTTAACCAGTGCCAAATGTGTATCAGTATTTTCAGAAAAGTACTAATATGAGATAAATGCAGAATGATGTCATTGTAGGTTACGACAAACATTTGCATAGCAAACCATAAATATACCCTTTAATGATCACCATGAGCTTCCTTCCTTCCATGCTTATTTTTCTTTAATTTCTCATTTTGTCGTCCTGTCTTTTTGATGGCAGGAGCCGCTGGTGGCTAATGACATCCTGAACCATCCAAATTTTGTCAAGAAAAACCTGTGTAACAGCTTCAGTGACCGCACGGTGCAGCGCTTCTACAAGTTCAACACCAGCATAATGGTATGTCAGAAAAACATGAGCTAACTGGACGCATGAATGACTGCACAGGAACACTGATTCAGACAGGACACAAATACAATCCTCCAGGCATTTATAAGCAATATGTGGTAGTATAACACTGCTTCCTTGTGGTGATTATTGGTGTTGCAACCTTTAAGTCTTCCTGGATACTATAATTCTATCAAAACTACAGTGGGTTACATTACAGTGTAATTAGAAATTCTGAGAGAATATTATCCCAGTTTAAGTTCTACTGCTTTAAAGTTATTACATTGTTGTTACATTTCATCTAACATGTCTCTCTACTAGTTAGTTTTAATGAATGTTTATGTTCTCTGTTTATCAATTCTGTTTTTTTTTTTTAATTAATTATAGGCAATTGTGAAGAGTTCTAAACTTTTTCTTTTATTTTCTTGTTTTTGATAAACTAGATTGGCTATAAAGTTCTTTAAAATATGTTTCTTAAACAGATATCCAGTGGGATGACATGTTGATGATATGTCTCTGTTTTAGGGTGACCTAACCAACCTGGTCCATGGTAGCCATTGTTCCAAGTACCGCCTGACCCGAATCCCCGGCACAAACGCCTTTGCTGGTATCGTCAACGAGACGTGTGACTCCCTGGCGTTCTGCGCCTGCAGCACTGTGGACCGGCTCTGTCTCAACTGCCACAGGTTTCTCCTTTATGCACACACTCATGAGGGATTCACTGTTGTAACTGTCAGGCACTTTGGAGTGCTGCTAACATAAGATGATCCTCTTGTAAATTATTTAAGAATAGATTTGATGTTATGCATGCTTGTTCAACAAGATCACAAGGCAAACATCTCGCCTTTAGTAAATTTCCAGATCTGATCGTATAATTCTGCAGCAGGGTCAGTATAGATTTTGTGAATTGTGTATACAATTGCACCATAATCAAACAGAAGCTCAGCTAATGAAACATCACAAATGAGGATGGATGTGTAAAAATAGTTATTACTTGACCAAAAGGCAAATAAAATGTTCACAATATAACATTACAGTGAACTATGACGAGAATGTTTCTCACTCAACATGTAACTGTGTTTTTCAGAATGGAGCAAAATGAATGTGAATGTCCATGTGAGTGCCCCCTGGAGGTCAATGAGTGTACTGGCAACCTCACCAATGCTGAAAACAGGTCAGTGCAAGACATGTCTGAGCCACATTGCCCCCTTCTTTAAATTTATATTGATGAATTCTACATTGCTTGTGAATTATACTAAGTGTAGCTTAGCATGAAGGGTCATATTGCATACAATTAGTGTAAATAATAAGAGAAGTCAGAAAAAAACATAGTTTGTACTAGTAGGATTTTAAATTAAATTGTTTCAAACTCTTTGTGAAATGGAAAATAGACTAAGCTTGTTATCTAAATATAAATAGCAATGCCATAATTTACCAATCTTGGTGTGTATATCATGCCATGTTGCAGTGATAGAGCTGTCAGTCAACCCAGACAGATTTTGTCTCCATAGAATGAGATGTTAAAACAAATAAAAAGGGGTCCTCTGTTTAACTGTTTAACTAACATTCACGTGAAAGCACTTGCATGTCCTGTTATTTAATATTTTGCTGTAATTATGAATGCAAAAAGTTAGCATGCTAAAGGCAAGATTGCATTGTACAGCATTTAAAATATACAAATATAGATTTGTTGTATCCTTTTTTTGTCATTACAAAGCAGCAACATCACTTGCTCAGTATATGGTATCTCGGATATAAAATAAACTTTTCAAAACTTATCGTCAGTAGTGTTTGCACTTTTCATACAGTGTCAGATTTGCCAAAATTCTTTTTTCGTCCTTTGTACGTGATAGTAGCATTTGCAAATTCACAGATTTCCAACTCCCTTTCATATTCAGTGTTTCCTCTATTGTGTGCCGCTGCGGAATCACGGCCACCACTAATAAAATTTCTCACGATCATTAAACTATGCGCTACAAATGTTTCCACTCGCACACTGTGCGAGCACGGCAGCACTCAGTGCTCGGCTCGCTTCCTCTCCTCGTTCTATGCAGAACATAAGTGACAGATGCTGTTATAAGAGCAGCGTAACTCTGAATCGGGAGGTGCGTAGCGAGTGTTTGATTGTCCGAGCGGCAGAAAGTGACGGTGAACGCGAGCTGAGGAAAATATTCTGCAGTAAATGTGCGGCGTCTGTTACATTGTGTTAGCTTCTCAAGACCAAGAAAAGTCTGTTGTTTCCCACCTGCTGGAAAAGTGAAGCCAGTTAGCGCTAAGTTAGCTAACATCCCCCCTCCCCTTCAGACTGCGCAGCTGAGCAGGAAAGTTTCTACAGCAGCTACATAGCTGCTATGTAACTTAACATTAGCTCGATTTATAAAATGTAACTGGAAGCTGTATTTTATTACTGCCTACTTGTCCAATGTTGAGAACATCAGGTATAAACTTAGACTAAACTGTAGCCTGCAGCTCTGTCCTGTACAGACTGATCAAATTATTTTTCAGTCTGAAAAAGTGGTTTTGGAAAAGAAAGGATGGAGGTGACTGGAGGAGCTGAGCTTAGTAAAGCTAATTAGTGATGCAAACTAGTCCTTTTAAGCTAATGAGGAGACGTTTCTTTTTGTATTTTAATGTGCAAATAAAATGCACCTCAGAAGGGAGGAGGTTTCTCATTTTGCCTATTTTTTATATTAATGTCTACAGATAAATGTCAGAAGCTGTAAAATGAAGACACAAAAGGCAAACATGAACAGTCCTATCTATAATGATTCTGAGGTAATATTAACAGGGTTTTCCTGCGTAAAGGCTTAGGGGGTGATGCGCTAAACATGCTACATGCCATCACTGTAAAATCACTGTGGAGCAACAGAACCAACCAAATTACTTTCTCCAGATCTAAAGGCTGTAGTTCCTCCAGTAGACTGATCTTTGGGTGTTGTTTATTTATTATCAGCTCTAGCTTTTACAACTATTTGTTCAGAGATATGGAGAAAATAATGGCCCAATATGATGTGAAATTACATATTTTTCATTGGAAAACATTTCATTTCATGGGGGGGGGTCCTAGAGGAAACACTGATATTCCTGTTAATATCATTTGAATTGTGGACATGGACGTGTCCTGCATTTTAGGAGCTTTGTAAAAGTTTGTGGGATTTTCCACACTTCTTTCTCTGTCACTGTCTCTTTTGTCCTTTCAGTCCTGGTCCTGTCTCTCTCACACATCTCTCGCTCTCTCTCTCTCTCTCTCTCTCTCTCTCTCTCTCTCTGTTTCACCCATCTTCTTTCATCAACTATCAGCAGTCTTTGACATCACATCAGTGTTTCAAATGCCAATTCCTTTATTTCAGGAAGACATGCAATTATCATTTTTCACTGTCAGTTTTTCTTCTGTTTTGTGTCAAGCAGCATTGATGTTTGTCCTTTGTTGAGTTGCTTTGCATAAATTGACATGCTGGAGGCTTTCCTTCAATGGATTCTTCTTTTTATGTCAAATATGCTGTATTTCTAAGTGTAATTATGTTTCACTGTAGGATTTGGACGGATGTCGTCAGCTGGATCTGCACCTTACTGTATTTTCACCATGTGTGTTTGTTGTACAGAAACCCTAGCTGTGAAGTGCATCAGGAGCCAGTCAGTCTGAATGTGATTGATCCAAGTCTGCATGATACTCTGCCCCAGTGTATCAACACTCTCTGTAGCCAGAGATACACTAGCAGGTATACACTTTAAACTGCACACATTAGCAGGTTTAATAAATATCCCAATCCATGTATGATGTATATACCAATCTACTCTTACAGGCCTATATACCATGAGGCATAGGATGTACTTAAAATAGTTAGATGGCCAACTAATAAGAATGTTGCACAGTGCCTCCCAGTGGTAATAAATGGGAAGTGAGAAGAGTGTCCCTTTTCTAATGTGCTCAAATTTTAAATTGTACGTTACTATAGAATTAAAACTAGAGAATCTACTGTAATGCACTGTGAAAGAAATAACAAGCTTTTAAAATCACTGCCTTTGTCTATATATATTTATAATACATTGCTGAATTCCTGTCAGATTTCACTAAAATGAATAGACTAAATGTAGGTACATTTACTTTCTTTCCTGAGTATTTTTGAAAAATGATCCCTTTTGTCTCCCATTTTTAAAAAAAACATCTAAGCTTTTTTAAGTGTTTGCTCTTTAACAATCTGTTTTGATCTCTATATTCTGGGCTCTGTTTCAGTGACTGTTTTGGCGTGTTGGACTGTGAGTGGTGCATGGTGGACAGTGATGGTAAGACTCATCTCGACAAGCCATACTGTGCCCTGCAGAAGGAGTGTTTTGGGGGAATCGTTGGCGCAAAGAGTCCCTATGCAGATGGCCTGGGACTCCTTGGTGAGTTAAATGTGGATATAAATCAAGCTCTACATCTATCTATCCATCTATGGAGGGTGAGAGGGGGATTTTTTAAATATATATAAAAAATCCCCCTCTCACCCCTTGCGGGGTGGTATATGTCATCCTCAAGCTTGGGTCTTCTACCAGAGACCTGGGAGTTTGAGGGTTCTGCGCAGTATCTTAGCTGTTCCTAGGACTGCACTCTTCTGGACAGAGACATCTGATGTTTTACCTGGAATCTGCTGTAGCCACTCTCCCAGTTTGGGGGTCACAGCCCCCAGTGCTCCAATTACCATCATCTATCACTACTGCCTTCTTCTACTGTTTGTCGATCAACACGATGTCTGGTTGGTTAGCTATTACCAGTTTGTCTGTCTGGATCTTGAAGTCCCACAGGATCTTAGCTCGGTCATTCTCAACTACCTTAGGAGCTGTCTTTCATTTTGACCTTGGAACTTCCAGCCCATACTCATGGCAGATGTTCCTGTACACTATGCCAGCTACCTGGTTATGGTCTTCCATGTACACACTTCCTGCCTGCATCTTACACCCTGCTGTTATGTGCTGTACTGACTCAGGGGCATCCTTGCACAGTCCTGCCTGGTGTGGTAGACTCCAGCCTCTATTGATCTTGTACTGAGTTCCTGTTCTTGTGCTGCCATGATTAGTGCTTCTGTGCTGTCCTTTAGTGCAGCCTTTTCCAGCCACTGCAGGTAATGGGCTGTAGCGGACTTCCATGTTGCCTCTTCATGGTTTCCGTTAGCCTGCGGCACCCCAAGGTATTTGTAGCTGTCCTGAACATCTACAATGTGGCCTTCTGGTAGTTCAACCCCCTCGGTTCTGATCATTTTCCCTCTTTTTGATACCATGCGACCACACTTGTCCAGTCCGAACGACATTCCAATGTCATTGCTGTAGATCCAGGTAGTGTGGATCAGTGAGTCGAGGTCTCGCTCATTTCTGGCATACAGCTTGATGTCATCCATGTAGAGGAGGTGACTGATGGTTGTTCCACTTCGGAACCGGTAACCGTAGCCAGTCTTTGTGATGATCTGGCTGAGGGGGTTCAGGCCTATGCAGAACAGCAGCGGGGGGATAGTGCATCACCTTGGTATATGCTACACTTAATGGTGACTTGTGCAATTGGCTTTGAGTTGGCTTCCAGACTTGTTTTCCACAGCCTTATTGAGTTCTTGATGAAGGCTATTAGTGTCCTGTTGATTTTGTACATTTCCAAGCATTCCAGTATCCGGGCTCAGGAGGTAGAGATGTTGCCCGTTAATCGGAAGGTCGGCGATTCAATCCCCAGCTCCTCCAGGCTGCATGTCGAAGTGTCCTTGGGCAAGATACTGAAGATACTGGTTCCGCCAGTGTATGAATGTGTGTGTTCTGTTTGAGCACTTAGGCTCAGTGTATAAATGTGAGTGATTGGTGAATGCAGATGTAGTGTAAAAGCGCTTTCAAAAAGACTAGAAAGGCGCTATACAAATATGGAGCATTTACATGTATGTGGCATTGAGTCGTAGGCTTTCTTGTTGTCAATCCAGGCGGTGCACGGATTGGTCTGCCCATTCCCTTCTGAGCAAGTTATTGGCCGATAGTTGGATGGGATTGTTCACTCCTGGGGATCCTTCATGATCAGGACTGTCTGTCCTTATCTATCTATATATAGATAGATAGATAGATAGATAGATAGATATGAATATACAAAATGATACAAAGTAAAAAGTGTAATTATTTCTAGGATCTTTGGGACAGCAGAAATGTTATTTGTAGATCAACCAATATTTATGATTGACTGAAACTTTTCTGTTCCTTGGTTATTTTTCTTTGGTTCTGTTCTCATTTTTATTTTTATTTTTTGGTATTTCACTCACAGAGAATAGATGCGAAGTAGAAAACATCTCTGCATCACAGCATGAGTTAGGATCTGAGCCCAAGCTGTTTCATATTGGCTTGCTGAATTGTCATTTCTTGAGCCATCTGACATCCTTTGTAACGTCTTTAAACAACCTTCTGCCTATTCTTTCTTCTTCTCTCTTTCTACCACAGATGAAGAGGTGGCATCTCTGAACATGATCAAGAGTGCCCCTGTGGGTCCAGTCGCCGGGGGCATTATGGGATGCATCATGGTGTTGGTGTTGGCTGTGTATGCATACAGACACCAGATCCACAGGCGTTCACACCAGCACATGTCACCACTGGCAGCACAGGGTAGGACTGATGGATGAACTCTGTCTCTCAAATACACATTTTTAAGTGAAACCTTTCAACTTAAAGGTCAGTGAAATTTAAGTAAATTATTACAGTTATTTTGTCAATAATACATTTCTGTGCAATAGAGGGACCATAAACAAAGTAAAACCACAGAATAATTTGTAGTTTATCTTTCTGTATCTTATATACCCACTGGTTGGCCTGAAGGGCCGAAAAAAACTAGCAACAATGGAAATAAGTTTGGTACTGCAGTTGATTGTATTAACCTTCACACTGGCATTTTTTAAATATCAAAGGAAGAAACAAAAAGTAGCATGATTAACAAGCAGTGCTGCTGGAGCTAAACAGCTGACATTAGCATCATGTGGCAGCAGCTGCTGCTGCATGATTTGTGTAATTACTCAGCGTTATTGACAAAAACATCAAACAAGATTACAACCTCATTAAAACTCTTGAGTCCAGGACACTTTCAGGCTGATAGTTTGGTAAACAACTTGGAATGGATGGTGGAAAGTGTGGCTACGTTATCACAATCATTAGCCTGAGGAATTGGCTCATAAAGTCGCTACACTCAATGTGTGTCAGGAGGTTTGTACAGTCTCTTCTGCAGCTGCAGATTGTACCAGCAACACACACACACACGGTCAAAAGAAAGAATAAAAGTAGCTTGAAGTACAGCATGTGTAGCCCCACTTTTCTACAAACTGAACCCTTGTATATCTATGCACACACACAAAAACTAGCCTTTCTTCTGGCTAACACTGTACACAGCTTATTATCTCGGCTAAAGAGCTAAAAGGAATATCAACTGTAAACCCTGTAGAGATATCAACTCAATCTAAAACGAACTGGTCTTGGATAAAGAAACCCTGTGTACATATCAGTGCTTGTAATATTTCGTAATAGCATCTGTCTCTTCTTGGCATTTTTCTTATTCCTTTCTCCTTTACCTCCCTGCTGCTCCAGAAATGTCAGTGAGAATGTCCAACCTGGATAATGAAAGAGATGAGAGGGATGAAGACAGCCATGAGGACAGAGGAATCAGTAAGTAGGGTTTGATATCTCATTGACATAAACAACATTATCTTTAATGCCACAGAACATTTGAATACAGGGTTTGAATACTAACGATGAAAGTAATTAGTGTTTTATTTGTTTTTGTCTAGGACTTGTGACACTGCGAGTATTTAATTACTAAACAGGGGCTTTGTGTTGATGTTTGTTCTCTTCACTTTCAGTCAGTAATACTCGATTCATTGCTGCGGTGATTGAGAGGCACACTCACACTCCTGAAAGGAGACGGAGGTACTGGGGACGATCTGGGACAGAGAGTGACCATGGTAAGACAGATAATTAAGAGATGGGGAAGTTTCCAGAAAACGCACAAGTTGTGTGCAACGTATTATGTCATCCAGGACATGAGCATTGATGGAAAGAAGAAGGTTTCATCTGATAATGCCAGTAATGCTATGTCAAAGTAAAACTATTTATAGAATTAATATTCCTCAACATACTCTGTATGATGAGATCATAAACTCCTTTCTTACTTGACTGAATATATTTTAAAATACATGCCAGTTGTTGAAGAAGTGACAACTAAGTGAAAAGAAGAAGCACCAACAAAAAATTGTATGGTATTGTTTTGTAGAAAAATAGCCTAATGTCTAGCATTGTTGATTCATTTTGATACAGCTTTAACTTTAACATCATCCTGATCAGCTCCCCACGGAGGTTACTCTTGCAACTGGCCAATATTTGCCTCCATGTCATGTTATTTTTGCACAGCTAAAGCTGATGATACATGGGGCAACTTTTTGAGCAATGTTGCTGGGCAGTCTTGCTAGGTGCGGGCAGGGTGGCGGAGTGGTGGGGTAAGGGGATTACGGTAGTAATCTTTACTCATTACCATTGACGGCAACGTTGCCCTGCACGATTGCTCTAAAAGTTGCTCTGTGTATCATCAGTTTAAGAGTTCAGTCTAAAATAATCTGGTATCTGGAAAATGAATCATTCAGTGGTTACAAAACTGGCCCATCGATTCCCGCACTCCATAAAATAGCAGTATTAACCACATTAGTTCTGTGGTGTAAGCACAGCTACAATACTGTACATTTGAAATTATAATGTCAGTCTAACCATGTGGGGTCATCTCTGTACATCACACCAACAGAACTGAACTGGAACAGAACTCCTGGATTAGGAGTCACAGGTTGGGTGAGGGTCTTGTAGAAGTGCTGCTGCTCCTTTGTGTTGAAAGGAGGCAGTTAAGGTTTAGGCATCTAATCAAGAAGATTTCTGAACACGACCAGCTGAGAAGCAGTGTACATATCTGGAGAGTGTACATATCCCATCTGGCCTGGGAACATTTTGGGATACCCCAAGAAGATCTAGAAGATGTGGGAAGAAGTCTGGGTTACATTTACATATTTACATTAATTCATTTAGCTGACGCTTTTATCCAATGCGACTTACAGCTGCTTTATATGTCAGAGGTCGCACGCCTCTGGAGCAACGAGGGGTTAAGTGTCTTGCTCAGGGACACAATGGTGGATGGTTCACAGTGGGGAGTTGAACCCAGGTCTCCACTGGGTTACCTTACTTTAACTTGTGCCACAGTGACCCAGGCCCAGAGAAACGAAAAGTACATGAAATTAAGTTTAGTTTCTCTAAAATAAGGATAATTTAATTTGGGGCTTAGGTATCATCGTTTTAAATCAGTGTTACAGCACAGTCTCAAATCCACAGTTAGCTTTCATTTCTTTGGCACTGGTTCAGCTCCTGGCTTGTTCTTTCCATTATATCACAGCTGAGAACCTTGTTTTCTCGCATCTAGCTCTGGGAGAGCTGCTCATGTTCGCTGTAACTGTTTGTAGAACTTGTAAGTCTGACACTCTATGAGCGTGGATGGACAGTTTCACCCACACGGGCTCTTACCACCTACATATGGCATCACTCCACTTCCTGGCAACGAGTGTCTCCAATACTTGTTGCATAACTGATGATGACAGAGAGAACAAGGATGAAGAGAGGAGAGTGGGCTAAAGTGAAACAAAGACACGAGCAAAAGCTTGTCAGCTGCATGTTTTGTACAGTATAGCTGTTAAACAATAGAGGATATGAAGATGTGAGATAGAGCTGTAGGAAAATGGGGAGAATTAGTTTTAATTTGTTAGAGCTATGCAGGAGATGTGCAGAAAACATAACACATTTTAAAATTCTGATTCTGATGTTAATATAATTCTAAATATGAAAGAAAATATTTTATATAATGACATTTTTAGAAGATTGCCCAGCCACAGAAGAAATGTGTCAAAGTAAAGTTTTTGATACAGAGTATCATCTGAATTCTCTTTCAGATGAAATGATTAAAGAGAGAGCATAACACAGTGCTTCACACTGGCTAATAAAGAGTTGTCCTCATAAATGGACAGGAATGACTATCACATGACTAACATGTTATGTAACTGGGAATAGGAAAGAAAAATCTGCAAATGGAGGACAAGTGGAGAGATGTAGAGATGCAAAAATGATGAAAGAGGGGAAATAAGAGTGAAATGCAAGGGCAAGAGGACAGGGACAGGAAGGAAGATGAGTTTGAAATAATGGAAAGAGGGGGTGTTAGTCCATCAGGGATTAAAACAAATTCATTACCAAGTTGATGTATCAGTGTTGCTGCTCCTCTCTGCTTGGTCAAAGGTGCCCCTCCTACTGAAATTCACTCACTCGTACTGCTTAAGGGTATAATAAAACACACACACACACACAAACATACACACACATACACAAAAGCTACATGCAGATCACCGAAGGATCAGAGCCTTAAATCTGTTGAGTGAGTGATGCACATACAGAGTGCTGTTTGACAGTGCTGGTTTGAGCTGCAATATTAATTTACAGGCAATGATCTGCCCATTTTATAATGAATACTGTGCATCCGACATGCATACATATAAAATATAACATACAACTACACACCCTAACATTATGAAGTTTATGTTTATACTTGCAACTGCTATGTACCGTATAATTACTATCTAGAAAGTGAAAGAGGCAGATATCATCATCTTCAAAATAACAGAAATTACAAAAATCATGTAGGAGTCACATACTTCCCGACCTGTCTGCGAAGGTAATCTTGACACCAACTTATGAAAAAAAAAAAGCAGAAATGAAATAGATTATATTTAATAGTCAGATTTTGTATCATTTCTGGATAGGGGCACTCTGTTATAGATCCTAAAGATAAAATTGACAGTTAAAGCAATAATTTTGGGACACACAGCGTTAGATGTAAAGATAGATACCACTCTCAGTTACTGCTCCTGGCCAAGAAATGCGTCGTGCGGCACATAACCCCATTGAAAGCACAAACTGAGATTTTTACACTTAGGTTTTTAAATTTATTAAACAAATGAGATATAGTGGGGTAATTAGTGAGCTTTAACCTTTGGACGGAGCCTGTTTCCAGTCATTATGTAAGCTAAGCTTGCCAGCTGCTGGTACTCAATGCACAGACATGAGGATGATATTGACCTTCTCTAACGCTTGGCAAGAAGGTGAATAAGTTTATAAAATTTGTCCAACAATTCCTTTAAATAAAATGGTAACTTTCAGCTTGTTACTGAATTTTGTCTTTTAACTGTCAGTAGACTGTCCAGGACTTGTTCCCAGGATTTAGACTTGTCTTGTCTCTAGCTTTTATTAAAGTAAAAGTCTCCATGGTGCAATAACATAGTTGTTATCTGGTCTGTCCACATCCATTGCCATTAAGAGGGATTTGCTTTCTCATCTGGTGCAGCTAAAAAAATGTCAACTGGACAGTTTGATGTAGACCTGCCTGAAACTCTGGCTCTTGCTTTGGGGAAAAGAGGGGATAAACTGTACTGAAGTTTCCATCCCTCTCTTTTCTTTTAATCCCTTCCTTTCTCCTTCTCTCTGTCAACCCTCCTTTTTTTCCTCTCCTTGTCACTTCATCTGCTCATTTGTCTGTCTCTCCTTTTCTTTGTCAGCTTTCTTTCCTTTGGTATCAAAGCCCGGCTTATCTTCTGAGAATCAGGGAGCGACATTTCTGAGCGTACTTCTCAGTTTGACTCTAGTACAGAGGATTTTAGGACACCCTCAGTGAGACGTAGAGGACATTTACTTTTTTTACGTCTCTTTGTTGGACATGCATTACCCTCTATTAAATTCAAATTCACATCAGCTTTATTGGCATGAATGTATAACAACAATATTGCCAAAGCTACAAATAAATTACTTAAGAACAATTAATTTCATACATTTCATTAAATAAGTAAATAAAACAGTTGTGGTTTGTGTGTTTATATGACATGCATCACATGGCATACACCACTAAACATGACAGGAAGAACGTGAGAAAAGCAAAGTTCATTGCTGTTCCATCTGTCAGTTGGTTGGTCTGCTCCACCACTTTGGTACACACCAAAAAAATCTTTACTACTCTACTCACTGTTGTATGGATTGCCATGTATGTGCAGACATTTAAGTCCACATCAGGATGAACTGTAATAACTTTGGTGATCCCCAGACGTTTTCTGTAGCGCTATCGTCGGGTCAAAACTTTAATTTTTTCAATGCTTTGGTTTATGACAAAATACCTTTCCTGTTGGCCATGCTAATTAGCAATAATGTTAGTTTACATGGTTAACAAAAAAAATCTGCACAGCACATTAGCATTTTCATTGTGAACATGTTAGCATGCTGACATATAGCATTTTTCTCCAAGCACCGCTGTGCATAGGTATAGCTCCGCAGAGCTGCTAGCATGGCTGTAGACAATTAGTTATGTGTATGAGTAGTTTGGCTTTGTTGAGGATTAAGCACGTGCTTGGGGATAGCCAATACAAAACAAGGTTCCTGCTGGCTAACATGAACTCCTAAAGCCCACAGAAGAAGATATCAGATATGTTTACTTGATGGTTCAGATGTTGTTTGGATGATAGAAAAGGTTGTTTGTAGATAGATATGACCCAAGGTCACACAAACTTACACAAATACTTCAACCACCACCTTCTCACTACATGCCACAGACATATGACACACAGACACACATGCTCCCTAAATCACTCAATTCAGTTCAGTGGAGGTTAAATGTTTCATCATCCAAAACGGGTTATTTGCCCGACTGTAATAATGTTTCCATCGTGCAGCATGTTGCTGGTGTCACTTATATATGAAAAAGATCACACTTAAGAAATTAAGGAAAATGGGGTTATTTCCAGATCAGTTACTCCCAAATATTTTTTTTATTTACCGTGTGTTTCAGATGAATTTCAAGGCCCTGGCGGTGATGAAACCTACTCGCTAGATGAAGGGTTATGTCATATTTGAGTTCAGTTGAAAAAAATTAAGCAAACCAAATAAACCCAGAGCCTACAGTTTTTCATTAAATTAGATGCTGGAAGCTTTGAACAAGTACATTATTAGTAATCTCAATCTTCACAAATTTGGAACTAAATTTGGCACATTATACACTTTCATCAGTAGAAAAAACAAATTTTGCCTGTTTGTGTTCAACCTTTATTTACTTATTCTCTGACCCAGTAATCCTTTTTAATGACAGCAGGACTGCCCTCCCACTGCTCCATTTGCCAATGTATCATAACTGCCATGTTGGCTTATGTTTCCATCTCCTCAGGCTAAACGTATGTGCAAGATGTGTGGAAAAGTGGTCATAAATATGTATGCTTCTTTTTTTCAAATTGTATGCAAAAGCTGAAAAAAAGGAGCAAAAAATGCCCAGTGGGGATATTTAGTTGTCAGTATGCCATCGAAGAGCTTGTACTGCTTTCAGAAACATTGTGTGTGTTACCATGTATTCACATTAGTTTTTCTGTGTTGAATGTCTGACTGGAGGGTGTCATTTACTGAATAGTTTCTTTTATGGTGTCATTTCATTTCTTTTTAATGTTCTGCAGCTATGCAAGACTAGTACACATGTACAGTAACTGTTCTTTTATATTTGCTTTAATCCCTAACTCAGTGCCAGAATAAGGCATCCTACAGTATGTAATATGTTGTTGCATTATGTTGCACTGTTTTTTTTAACCATGAAAACTTTGTGTTGGTTTTTGAGGTAAAATCTTCAAATATATTCTTTTCCAGGACGTTTTATTTGTTTGCACTTTAGTTTTAAGTTTAATCATTACTTTGCAGCAGGATTAGGAAGATTTTGTCTGGGAAATCACTTGAAGGTTTTGTTTTTGGGAAAAGAGTTTATAAACAAGTCCAGTCATCCCAACTTTTGCGTCTTTTTTTGTCTCCAGGCTACAGCACCATGAGTCCGCAGGAGGACAGTGAGAATCCACCTGGAAACAACGATCCGCTCTCGGCCGGTGTCGACGTTGGTAACCACGATGATGACCTCGACCTGGACACGCCTCCTCAGACTGCCGCATTGCTCAGCCACAAGTTTCACCCATACCGGCACACGCATACACACCACCACCCGCTGCACACACACCACCTGCAGGCTGCGGTCACCGTGCACAGTGTGGACGCAGAGTGCTGATCTTCAGTGCGGCATTCACCCTCCTGCCAGGGTTGGAACATTTTTTTTTTAATTAAAGACTATTTTTAAAAACATTTTTGCTTGATTAGACAGCGCACAGTAGTTGTGTCAGGATGGACTGAGGGGGAGAAAAGCCACAGCTGGACTCAAACACAGTGTCACTGGGTCGCTGGGACCTCTGCCATGAATGGATGTTTAGCTTAATATGAGTATTAGCCTCATGGTGTCATTGTGCCAACATCTCCATCTCAACGTTTTTTTTAACCCCAGTGCAAAATCTGACAAGTGTACACATTTTTACATACACTGAAAATTACCAGACCTGGGCCAGTAAAAATAACCAAATGGGATTCTGAATGAATTTGGCATTCAGGACTCTGTAAGAGCACACCTTTGGCAGCAAACAAAAAAGCTGTTTGAGCCCAGTCATTGAGGAGAGGAGACAACTTGAAACTTGAGGGAGGACAGACATCTTCCTTTTCACGTGGAAGGCCAGAGCAAACTGTTGGATAATCAAATTAACATAGAAATATAAATGCTGATTTGACCCCTTTTGCCCCAAAGCCCTATTCCAGCCGTCACACGTTGTTTCCCCACTAAGCCCACTTGTGGTGAGGGGCATGGGGGCAACAGAGCACTCCTTTCATTTGTGAAAACTTCTTGGTTCTGCAGATAGACACTGCTCAGTTGGTTTTCTCTGAAAGTTGCGGCCATTATCCAAAGGAGTAACTGCTGGCCACTACATGGTTTGAGAAGACATTTTCATGAGTGTCTGTGAACTTCAAAGTATGGAAACATTTCACATAAATATAGAAAGAAACACTTTAAAGAAGAAAAAAAGCTTATTTTTCTACTATTTATTAAAGAGGTAGATTTTCGGGACAGATGACCAAGCAGCTGCCGCTAAAACAAACAAGAAAGTAGTCAGGATAAATGATACCGACCCACTTCCTGTAACCAATGCATCAAATTTAGAGCTCATTATTTTCTGGGACTGGTTGTGTTTATTTTGAATTTTGAGAATATCAGTAATATGTTAATGTTGATTGCTGTGTGAAATTTCAAAAAAAAAATTATTTTTCATCACATTGAGGGACTGTATAATCAGCAACTCATTTAGATTTTATTTCCCCTTTTCTCTTCGCTTTCTTTTACCAGAAGTATATCCTGACCTATCCTTTCCACCAGAGGATCCAATTTACTATACAGTGTGGTGAACAGTGTCTTCTTCAAGCGGGAAACATTTTTGGATGAGCAGGGACCTAAAATCTGAGACAAAATCAGATCTGCTCCTTTAAAAAAAAAACGATGAGCCTTAATCACATTCTGTGTCGGAGCAGTTAGGAGGAAGTGGGCTTTGACATATAGCACATTATTTGTAAGGTAAGACTTGCTGTGCAGAACATCCTCATTCTGGACATGTCCTCTGTATCTTGAGGCAGCCTCCTGGGGATGGAGGAGGGAAGAGAGAAACTACACCACCAAAACATTTCTGGCCTTTGTCACTGCTGGGGATTTGGTGTGTGAGGATAATTGGGAACCCTCACAGAGGTCCTGAGAGATTCACACTGAGAGACTAAGTTCTGCCCCGTCTATCTACCTGAGTAGAAAAACCAGTACAGGATGCTTCCCCTCCTTTACCACAACGTTTTGCCTCTGAGGCTAAGCTGATACTGTATGTATATTAAGGCTGTGTGCTGGATTTGGTGCAAAACAAGTTGAATTTCCAGTGATGCCCAAGATGGAGTCTCCTCCTCATCAAAGACAGTCAAAGGGGGAGAGATGCTGCTGCTGTTGTACAGAGGTTACACACATCTGTCGGCTCCTCTGTGGTTAACCACTTAAAATGTATTTTCTACACGCCTCTGGTTTAACTGTTTAAGTGTGTGTGTGTGTGTGTGTGTGTGTGTGTGTGTGTGTTAGTTAGTTAAGAAAGAATGATTATCCACCTGGAATATTTTCATTGAATGCATTGTATTTTTTTCAAGATAGTATTAGAGAATTATAGGTGAAATTATTATGATTGAGAAATCCACTTATTTTTATTCTGATGAAGAGTCCCTTGACCCGATCTGTGCTTCGTGGGTTTGGTAGTTCAACTGGTCAAATCACATCAGTGTGGCATCCATTTATTTTTGGGTGCAAAAATGTCTCTTGTTTTTTCAGAGATTCATTATGAAGTGTAAATACAGAATCACAAATAGCTATCAATGTCCTCTACACTCCATATTTTTTATGTTGGCAAGACATTATGTATGCTTTAAATGATGCTCAGCTATTCTGGTTGATATTTTGAGTTGTCTGTTCATGGTGTCTCACTATATTTTTGATGCCTTGGATGTTTTGGGGGTTTTTTAGATTTATTTTTCTTTAGGTCCATATTGGATGGAAGTCAGTACTTGGGAAAAAATAATACACACTTTTATGTTTGAGAGACTTCTAGTTTTTAAAGTTTTATCACATGTCTTTAAGATGTTAAAGAAAGCTTATCTCTCCATAAACTAATTTAGATTTGCAAAAAAAAGGTATTACATCTTTTCACTGAGTAATGATCAAAACAAACCCTTGTAGTGTATTCAGGGTTTACAGTCGGCTGCTGTAAGCCGTGCTATGATTCTGTTACTACTTAAGACTGTCAGCCATATTCACTTACAGTTATTTTAGTGTGTTTGTCACTTTTGTAGAATATTTACATTTGCACAACCAATGTGAGCTCATTAAGTGTAATTTGTTAACCCTGATCAGCGAGCTTAAAAAATACTGGTATTATTTTAGTACACTTTCATGCTGTCAACATCTTAAGTACTACTTCTGAACTCATTGGATGTGTAGAGGGTCAAATATTCCACTGAAGATTACAGGGAGGTTTATCATTGCTTATGTCATATGACCATTTGTTGTTGGAAATTTGACCATATGAACCAGATTTATTTACCTGCAGTCATTTGTCACAAAAAAAGAAATTCTAAATTGTGCTGTTTTCACCAGTTCACAGGGTACTTAATTTCAGTTCACTTCGACATTGAAGCAGTCTTGTAGCATTTCAGGGCAATTTTTAGATCAAATGCAGTCTTGAGAGTATGTTTAAACGTGTGTGTGTGTGTGTGTGTGGGAGTATACAGAACACTCTGAATCAAATGAATTAATGTACTGAAGGAACATGTGAACATCACCCCCCTTATGTATCTTATGTAATTATCAAATTGAGATTTAATGCAATGTGAATGTGATAAAGTCCATTTTACACTTAAATTGTCTCTCTTATTGTTTTCAAGTCATTTCAAGGGTAAATCTACACCTGTGCATATAACTCTGCAAACTGCTGCTGCACTGCTCATTGGGTGTTTAGACTTAAATGCAGATGCTTCCTTCTCTATGCACCTTTTTCACAGCAGACATTTTGTTGTCATAGCAGGAAAAGCACAGGTGTAATTAATATTAATGACAGAGGTGTCAATCCCTTTGTTTGGTTCAGTTCTGTGACCCTGCTATGATGTCTGTTTCCTCACTGGCATGGAGAAGGACACTTTAATGGGAATGGAGCCATCATCAACATTATTAGCTATAGCTGTGCTTTTCCTGCTATGACAAGTCCAAACACATTGCTGTGAAAAGTATCGTCTGATGCTGATTCAACCCGTAAAGCTACAACCATTTATTTATTTTTAGTTACTTTTAAAATTTGGGGCACAAATACACAGAAAACTTTTGGTAATCCATCAGTTGACATGGCTAACATGCTAGTCAACAATTGCTGTTGTGCCAAGATTATATCATTGGAGTTGCTTGTCTAGCCACTCAATTAATTTAAGTCCAGTATTAACTGTCCCTTTAAGCTCTGTCTTGGTTTCAACCAACTCATAAATCAATCATTCGTCCTCTGCATGTAGTAATTGGAATAAAGTTGATAAAGTCAATAAAACCTAAAATGGAATAGAGGTAAATATTTACATTTGACCTACTCTAAAACTGAAAGGAATTTCTCAAAAATATTTTTCAAACATAAACTAGTCTATATCAAGCAGAAAATTCAGTAGACCTGTTATGCAGACCTATAAACCAGGTGCAGGGAGTACATACAAAGACACTCGTACAAGCAATTGTCTAAGATTGCTATGATTTAGCAATGCTGGCAACTTATCTCCCTTGACCCAAACATTGTCATTGTTGATATTAAGGCCAAAATGTTGCTAATTGTGTTTTTCTGTTGTCAGTAGGGGACTTTTGTTCTTACTGTAGGAGGTCATGGAACAGGTCATCCGCAAACTGCCTCACACGCAGTAAGCCAGGGAGATTATCTGCAGGGGATTTTGTGTGTGTTGATTCAATACCTGGCCCAGTATTCACGCTCACTGACACCAGAGTAATATCGTCTGATGTCTCTCCAGCCTGTATTATTCTCTGTGGTTCACACAGGGACATTTAGGACACCTACACTCCAAAAAAGCTGCTCTTGGCCTTGTTTGGAAGTGAGTAAGTTGTTTTGAAGTGAGTAATCTAATGTTTTCTTTTTTTGTTTTTGTTTTTACATCTTTTGTTGCCCACCCCCACTTTGTTGTAGTGTTTGACCCCTATTTCAAGAAATGGGGGCATTCAAGAGTAAAATGGTCATTCAGCCACAATCTGTACTTAGCTCCACAAGAGAAGTGTCATTTTTAATGTGTTTCAAGCTGTTTGCTGTAGGTCATCCCATTTGTGTATGGAGGAAGAATAGTGGTACTGCATGGGAGAGCCTATCAGTTATTTATGAGGCCTTTCATTGCATACAGTATTTCCTGCCAGAGGAATGGGGGAACAACCACAGATGGTGAGACAACATGGTTCTGACATAACAATACAACAGAAGCTGCTTTGGTTTGGGTGGGGGTCAGGGACAGTATGCTGTTTTATATTTCAGTGAGTTTTTACTTTTAGCAATTATTACATTTTAAAAAGCAATTTGAAGTTTAATTTTCAATTTTAATCATTTTGACATCAACCAGTTCAGCACTTGTTTGTCTGGAGACATTCTGTATTATTCTTATTGTTAACAAACAATCCCATGAAAAGATCCAAACCAACAGTGATCTGATCCTACTAACAAGTATAGTCTGTCAAAGCCTAATGTATCTTATTCCTCTGTGTCGGAGACCTCCATTGTTTTCCACAAATGATGAAACCGTTAAGCCACACCATTGCACTAGGTGATATGTTCTATAATTCTGAGGAAAATGGGCTCTATAGATTATTATGAGTCAATTCCATATTCACCATACCCTGCTGCAATAAAGGCACCTAATCCACAGCTGAAAATAGTCACAGACAAACACACAATTTACTTTGCGTTTGAATAATATTTGCTACAAACTGCACTGCAATCATTAGGCTTATATATTATTTGATTGTCTAGTCAAGTTACTCATTTGGCAGTATAAGTTAAATCCATTTATATTTAAAGCACATTTAAAAACAACCCATGTTGGACAAAGTGCTGTATATTTATATTAGTTATACCATTAAAAAACAAACCAATCAAAACATACAACAAGAAACAGACAATTCACACTGGGAAACAGGAACAATTGTGCTGTTGGTTTGGGCACTGAATTTTGACTGATAGACTGTTTGTAGCATATGGAAAGGATTTAACTGGAAAAAATATTTAAAACAGAGCATCTGTGAATCTTCTAGGTCCTTTCCTTTGATACAGTCATTTTTCAAATCTTTCGAGATTTAACATTTTATGTAAATGAACAACAGAATAGGTAAGCATAGGTGATTCTGAAAAGGTACTGTGTGTGTTTATTTCATGAGAAGGTCATATAGTGCCTCTAAGTAACTTGTTTCTCCTTGAGGTGGATAGTGATAATAGAGAGGTGCATGCTGGGCTCTCAGTTTACTGAACACCACTAGGGAAGTATTTCAGGTCGTTGAGAGCTGAAGGAGAGAAAAAGCACTTTCTCCTTGTTTCTGTCTGTCCTCCTGTCGCCATGTCTCATAAACCTTATCAGTTTGTCGCCATTCACTCATACCTCCCCTACATGGCCTTGTCTTAGTCTCTTTTTCACTGTCACTGTAGCTCCTCCACTGTCCCTCTTTCTGTCGAGCTGTCTGCTGGTCCCTGCCAGGGAAACGCTGTGAATTAGAGCACTGAGCTCGGTGTCCAAGCACCCTCGGGTCATTTCAGTCAGTCTTTGCTCTGCCAACTGGTACAGCAGACATGCACTAGCAGCATATTTTGTGCTGTCCAGAGTCCCAGTTTCCCAAACGCATCTCAGCAGTGTAATCATCTTAAGTCTTGCATGCAAGCAATTTACAGCACTTTGAAATCACTCTGAGAGACAGTGCTTTATATCCTATTATATGGGTTGTGCTAAAAAAAAAAAATCTGGACCTTACAGCAAAATCTGGCCATGAGGGATTTGATCCCAATGTTCTGGTCAAAGGTATAATCTTATAGTATAACTACTTTGTTAACAAAATTGGGAATCTAATTGAGGTATTTAGAGGGATGAAAAAATTCAAAAAAGTACACAGTTGAGTTATACTTGGGTTGAAAACAGGGAGTAATCATGTTAAAATAGATGTATTCTCATTACTGACTCGCTTGCTGGCCACATAAAAGTAGCTTCCCTGACGCACTGGTGAAGAGGTATGCTTATGACCACTGTAATCAGGACATGAATTGGGCAGGGAACTCTTGTGCATATTGTTCCCGTGGGTTCAGGTCAGCTGTTTTTAGTAGGTCACATGTCCCTTAATCTCTTTCTCTTTCTCTTTAAGAGAAAAGATGCCTTGCCACCAGACTGCATCTGTAATCATTTATGAGAGCACAGCATCAGCTCATAAATGTAGGGAGAGCCTACAGTCCATTTTTGCATCTGCTTCTGCATTCCAGACAGGATTGCAGAGGGAGATGTCCATAATCATGCTGCCCAGTAATACAGGAGACTATCACTCTCAACTCCCACGCGCAATGAACCACTTTGCCGTTTAGGGTTCAACCCCCCCATCCCTCTCCTCCCGTCCTCACGCCTACTGAGCTCATCCCAGGTGCCTGCTTTGCCCGTTCAGCCACTCTGCCCACCCACGCCCTCACACTCAGTCCCAGTGAACAGCGGCAAACGCTTTTCCTGCTTTCTTCTCCTCTCCACTCCCACCCACTCCAAAAGGCTGTGAATCACCAGCTGACACACTGACGCACCAGCAGGGCTCTTGTGTTTTAGATGGAGAGGGACTTGCATGTCTTTTCCCCTTGGTTTGTGAAGCATTATGGGGTTTGACTTGCACATAGGTAAAACGCTTTGAAAGACACAGAGTTTGTGCAACTGTGCTGTAGGCTGACATGGGTTAATGCATGTGTGTGTATGTGAGTTTTTAGAGTGTTTCTGTAAGTGTAATATGGTGCTGGCATGCGTTTGTGTCAGGGGGACTGAAAGAACAAATTAATTGTTCTCTCATGGAAACGTTGTTTAGCACTTAGCGGAGTGATTCATGCGTTTATAAAATCAGCCTGTGCAAGTGACAGGCAAGTCCTTGCTGTCTTTTCAGAAAGCCACTGCTCAATGATTCATGTCCCCCAATCTGTCAGCAGGCATCGACTATTGTATGAGCTGCAGTTAGATCAAAACCCGACTTCCCCTGAATATTTTTCACGTGTCAAAACTTTCTTTGTTTCAGGTGACTGGACATAAAACATGTCTTGCAAAAAGGATGAATGGTGGTCAGGAGCATTTTTCACCTGTCACTTGCAGGAGGACAGTTTGTGAATTTGTTTATGTATATATATAATATTTCTGTATTAGTCAAGTAATAGAGAGATGAGAGAGGATGTCCTCACATGTTCTTTTGTTAGACCAACAGTACAAGACATCAATATGCAATATTCAGTTTACTATCTGACACAGTAAAGCAGCAAGTCTTGAGAAGCTGGAATCAGAGACTGTTTGGCATTTTTGCTTGAAAAATTATTTAAATTATTTAATTTATAAGATTTATTTTCTGTTGGTCACCTAACTGGTTAATTAACTCATTGTTTGACCTCTGCTGTACTTAATGCTGCATCCTGAAATTCTCTTTTTCCTTAAAATAATAAAATAAAAGCAGGAATCATTGCCTTTTGGAGTTAAAATATGTCATTCATATGGGTTTCATCATGGTGAAGGTGCATTTATCATCTTATGATTTGCAGAAAAACACGTTGACAAACAAGTGACTTGGATTTTTAGCACACATGACATTAAGCAGAATCAAACTGATACATGAAGACGTGTCGAGTCTCTCACATGAATTTGCAATCCCTTGTTTCCGTTTGAAATAACATGTAATAAAATGTCCTTTTCTTTGGCCGTTGGGCTCTGGAATGGACTGAGTGTAAGCTTGATTTGAAGCATTCATACGCACGGTTCATATATAGTCGGTGTGTTTCAGTTACACTGGTTCAGCCACTTGGCAATGTGAGATAATTTTCACCAACTGACAACTGTGATTGTCTGGACTCTAATCTGCCAAGAAATGCTTCACACAGATGGCGAGAGAGGGAACATGGAGTTTGGATGATGGAGGTTGATTTCACCGTCTCTTACAAGCCTCGGTGTAATCGTGCTCTAAATATTTCCTTAGTGGGTTGATGTGTTCTCTCTGACATGTTTGTGGGCCTACATGAGTGTGAATGCATCTTATGAGTGTGTGTATCTGTCAACGACTCATGCAGCCTGCGGAAGCTACATAGGCATTGTGAGGACTCGGCAGGGAGCTCTGTTCCCTTTGTGTTTGCCAGGAGCAGCTTTCCACCCACGGTGGGCAGGCAGGCTTGGTTGGCTGCTAGTTTGGCATTCACTGGATGACTTGGGTAGAAAAGAGGGAAGGCATACAGCCATTCATGGTAACATTATGCACATGGGGACCAGGAAAGCTGTGGTGGTTTAGAGATATTCTCCAGTGAATGCATCTCTCTCTTTGACCAAAAGAGTAAATGTGTTAATTGGGCTGTAGAACAAAAGTAAGAACTGAATTTCTCTCCCATGTGCCTAAGGTTGTGCAAATAGTTACCAGTTCACTGCTGCCTAAAATGTACTGTTCATAAAAGAACATAAAACACGTGGCACACTCAACATTGCAGATGATGTCCTCCTCCTGCTTACTTTATCTGAAATTGATGCCATGCAGAAATCAAGCAACCTCCAGTGTACTTGATTACAAGCTGCCTTCACATGAACTAAACAAACTATAGCCTGTCTGTTAGTCTGATGGTGACATTAATTGGCTTCTATACATTAAGATGACAGTCGGACTAGCCAAGAATCGGAGGTGCTGACATGCTAGAAACCATGTCACCATTTAAACATGTAGTTTCACCTATCAGCTATACTGCATGCTACAAATATATAATATAATATAAATATATAATGTAGGCCTATATAAGGAAAAAAAAACGCTCCTTGCATTTTTCACTTTTTTCTTGAACACAGCTGCATATCTTTTAATTAAACAGTTGACCAAACAAACCAAATATATCTGCACAAGTTTAAAATGATATAATTTAATAATAAAGGCATATAGGCCTATAGGCTATAGAGATGAGTAAGACAATTAGTACATTATTCGATTTGATTCCAATAATAATACACACATTTAGGCATACATTAGTTTACTTGATTAAACTAAAATAGAATTAGTTTATTTGCATTTTATTCGGGATGTTTTACTTTTCTCTCGCTCTTTCTTTCTTTCATCATCACACACCTCCCACCTGCGTGCGTGCGTGCGTTCTCTCTCTCTTTCTCTCTTTCTCTATCTCTCTCACTCACTCACACACACACACACACACACACACACACACACTTCCCTCACACTTTTCACTCAGCTACCCAAGATGGCGGCAGCGTCATCCATCCAGCCGCCGAGCGTTCACTCTTCTCTAGCCGGGGAGAGCGCACTTTCCCCGGAGATGGACAGCCCCGAGATCCGGCAGCCAGAGGATGAGGAGGCGGCAGCGGCGGCGCAGCCCTCCGACTCGGGGATTAGCCTCCGCGACCTGCCGGACCTGGAGCCGGAGGAGATCGAGAGGAGGTTGGCCAAAACTCGCCAGGAGCTGAGCAACAGGAGGAAAATTCTGATTAAGAACCTGCCGCCTGACACAACTAACCAGGTACACCTAAGTTTACAGAAACTGAAGCAAAAGTCACGTGGTCCACTTTAGTTTTCAGGTTTTACGCATACCGAGATTTATTACTGACAATCGCACTTTTCAATACCTTTAAGTACGTTATTGTTTGATACCAGAGACCGGATGTCTGATGCTTTATAGTGACTTTAATTTATCCCATGAAAGGCAATGACATCCCATATAAAAGCCACATCTTTTTTTAAGGAACTTTAATTTTGTAGTTTATTTGATTAGTTCTCAAATTTAGGCTACTATGGGATCTGGCAAGTAGGCTGATTCATTTTTCTCATGTGGAGTTTAAACAAATAACCCATCGTTTCATTTGTTAAACACCCTGGAACTTTGCATCACTGTCTAATTAATGTGAACATAGGGATCCCCAACTGATTGGACATATTTAAAGGGTCAATTAATTGTTTGGCCATATTTATAACAGTTCAAAAACTATATGCCTAGTTGGACAGAACGTGACTACTAAATATGGTTTAACTGTTGTTTACAAAATTAGTGACATAAACAAACTCAACAACATAATTCAAATGACTGAATTGGCTTGTCCCCACACCAAAACAACATGACATGTCTGTAAAAGATTTGTGCTTCTTAATGAGTTCTAGCAAAAGGTGCCTGGAGCTTGAAAGTCTGTTGCTTTCCTTGCAAAATGATTAGATAATGCACGTGATGTCCCCTAACCATTGTTATTCAGATGTACCCATCCTTATAGGGTGAAGTAAACATATCCATGCTCCTGTACAAATAATAAAAAACTTCTATATGAGATTCGTCAAGTCAGAAATCAGGATTATGTTTTTGTGATGTGGGTGATTTTTTATGAACACCACATTGGCTTTCATTGCATGGAGCAGTGCATTGAGATGCACATTATGTATTTGCCATTATCTTTTGTGATTTTGCTTTTTTATCCTTGCAACGTTTTACAGCATACATTTTAATATACAGTATCTACAATAATAATTGCCATTGTAATCAATTTTGTATTGTTGTTAAGTTGATGTGTTAACAGCATACAGTATTGTACAATTTAAGTCCTTACCCACGCCACAGTTACAACTACTTCAGTTAACTTAGATTATTATGTATTCAAGACATGACCAGTAGAATCCATGATTTCTGACGGGTTGCTATAATCAGATTTCTTTGCTGGAGACCAAAGCAGATCACCCACTTAAAATGTTATGTTTATTGTACATGTAGGAACTTGGTATGTTTCTTGTCAAAGACTACAGAGTGACTTTATTGTTTATAACTTTAAGACCTAGGAAAAGGAGAAACTAAATAGGTCTTAAAGTTAAATAATTTTGTCAGCACGCAAGCTTTCGTGAGGTGGCGTGTGAAAGGCACTCATGGTGAATTCCTTCAGGGTTGTAGCACCAAACATTCTTAGAAAAAGGCACACTGCAAAGGAGAACCAGCTCTCTGCCTGTGGTGTCTGAGTGTTAAGGTGTGTGTGAGTAAGGAAAAAGGGAGAGAGGAGTGTGAGAGAGTGTGAGTGCATGGTGTGTGTGAAAAATGAGAAACAGAGTGGAGAGAGAGGAAAAGTCACTTGGATAAGGTGAAGCAACAGAAGTGGAATTTCTCTCTCTCTCTGTATTTTCCACATTATTCATGTGCCAGAACGAGTGTGAGATGTTTAGTGAGCCTGAGCAGAGCAGTCGGAGAGCAGAGCTGCATGAAACCTGCCCTGCTGAACACGCCACATGAATTTATCTATATAAAGGAGTAGTTCAGACTCTTTGACAGTACGTTGTACAAGTAACTGAGTGGTAGTGATTCTGTTGAATTGACTTTAGCTCAAGCTACCTATCTTATGTGTGGGGATATCTCAGCGATCCGGCAGATAGTTAATATTTTCTTTTTTTAATGTTGTGTTGTGGTTTAAAATGCTTCCAGTTGCTGCGTCATTTCTGTTTGAAAGGTTGCAGAGTTTCTGAGATAGGTTTAACAACAAGATATGTAGCCTGAGCTAATGTTCGTATATCAGCATTAGTGCTTAAATTATTAGTGTTATCAACAGATAGATACAAAAACTTCTATCACACAAAAATGCAAAACCTTTTCCAGTTTCTCATATATGAGGATTTTCTGCTTTTGTTTGTTTTTACAAAAATGCAAATTGAATATTGTTGTTTTTTCAACAGTTGGGTGGACAAAAAAAGCAATCACCACTTATTTCTTGGTAGTGCATAGGGCTACGGGAATCCAATGATATTCATAGAGCTGTTGTTGACATTACATTATCTTCCATAAGGTTATACATTTAGGGCGAAGGAAAGTCTTCGTCACTGTCTTATATAACCTTATAAGTCTGGTGGACTCAACAATGCCCAGCCAGCTCCATCTCCATTTCCCCTTATACCCACTGCCCCATTAGTGAACACTATATCGCAGATTGGATATATATCTGTGTATGAGTGTGTGGAGTCCATGGTGCACTGTGTCAGATATATGGCCCTGCTGACAGTCCTCATCTTAGCGAGAAGTGGGGGGATGGGAACAACGGAGAGAAGAGTGCAATGGGAAAGGAGCGACAGATAGGTTGGAAAGGAATGAAAGGAGAGGTGAAAGAAGATCATAAAAATGTAAGAGAATAGAAAGAGGATGGGGAAGGAATTTGGAAGAGAGAATGATGTAGACGTGAGACTTCTCTTTGATGTTCATGCTATCCCCCTCAAATGGGAGCCATTAATGACTCTAATGCTGTAGTATTTTATCAAAATGATACATTTCTCTAAAATGCTGTTGGTAGCATTTTACTGAATAAAAATACACTATTATTTCTGCTTATTTATCCTAATTAGGGTTTAGGTTTCAACATTTAGGCTAACCAAAGTTATAAAAAACTGAGATCTGTAATTAGCTTTTGTTCAGTTTTGGGTGTCAGCCTTATTACATTTTAAAACCTGCAGTTATAACCTGTAAATGAGATGAGGAGTAGTATGTATCTGACGCACAAAATTACAGGTAGGCGATGCGAATGACACGATTTGTGCCATGCAAATGATGCAAATATTCAACTTGTCTTACCTGGAGTAAGGTAAGGATTCTGAACTTGAATTTCCTCAGGTATTTGTTCAGCACTCTCAGATCCAGGATAGGACAAAGACCCCGTCCTTTTTTGGAATGACAAAAAACGACTTGTGTTTTTTTGTTATTGTGTATCACAGGGTTCCCTTTTGGTCGGTACACTCAATACAACACATTAGTATTGGGAATTGCATCCTCGCTAGACCAACCTGAAGAAACTTTATCAAAACACCTGTCAGGGCCAACTAGGCTGTTGCATACAAGGGAAGTCCTGCCTTCCCCTAGGGCTATAAAAACCCCTGCATACTGTCTTTTCCTCAAACTTTTTGTACTTCACCTCGCACAACCTGACTACAGCAGAACCCTTGCTAGCAACTGAACTGTCCGATAGGAGTTGAGCTTGCCCCCTATGCTTCACACAACAGCTGTGGCTGTGTTTGTGACCTGACATTTGTTTTCTCCGCAAGAGATCTGACATTTCTTTTCTCTGGGAGGAAAAACTTTAGAAAGTTGCGTGGCGCTGCAGGCCCCAGCTGCAGTAGTGCATGGATCACGCGTAAAATCCAGCCAGAGGGAATGATCATGAACCGTTCACAGCGCGTCGTTCGTACTAGTGACACAACCCATACGAAGAGGGAGTGGGGTGGTGGAGTGTACAGGGCCAGGGACAGGAGATCGCGGTGCAACCGGCATTCTGGTGATCATTCCCTCTGGCTGGATGAAGTCTGACGCTGCAGATTTTATGCATGGATCCATGATGATAGAGAAATATAGAAATTAATGGCAATAAAGCATGCTGCCAATATTTCAGAGATTCCCCAAAATATCACAAATCATGCTTTTAGGGGAGCTGATGTCTTATCAAAGGGAGCTAAGCTCCCCCTGGCTCCCACGTAGTTTGCACCCTGGTGTCGCCAACTAGGCTGTTTCTGCATGGGTGTTGTTTAGCTCTCTAACTACTGTTTAGCTATCTAACAGATATCTGTTTAGCCCAAGCTAACAGACACCTCATTCCAATACTAACATATTTGTTTAGCGCAAACTAACAACTGTTTAGCGCAACAAACACCCGATTCCGTTTAGCTTTATAGCTAACATCTCACCTGTTTAGGACCTTGGCCATACCCACCCCTCGCCAACAACAGACATGCTAATCATTTTCTCCCCCAGCAGTTGCCAGTCTTCTCAGGCTTTACACTGGAGCTTTCGCGGTTCTGGGCAACCCCAAGGCCCCGCTCTCCCCGCCTTTCTCTCAGTTCATGGTCCTGGAGGGTATGAACTCGGCTGGACTTACCAATATCCCTCTGATGGATGAGACACTGGCCTCACACCGTGCACATAAGCCCAACTCGCTAGCAGGAACCAGAATCAGATTGACCTTCATTGCCCAGTAGTGTTTTACACATATGAGGAATTTAGTGATAAGGTGCTACACTTAGAGAAACATACAGTTGACATAAATAAATGTAGAGATATATAAATATAGTATAAAAAAAGTTATATAAGAATAATAAAAAATAGACTATTTGCAGAGAAAGAACAATGTGGCGGATATTTACATGTGCATTACTCCGGTTTGTGTTGTGCAGGCGTATTGCAACAGAAGAGGATATTGTGTACATAAATATATAAATTGACAAAATACAAATAAATACAGAACAACAACGATTAACAATTAACAACAAATATGTGCAATATAGCGGTAAGCCCATACTCCCTAGCAGACAGTGTAGGCAGGTGTCTCTCCGCCACAGAAGGGATGATAGGTTGAGCACTGCTCCCGTACAGAGACTCCACGAGACTGGGCATGGGAGCCCCTCTGGGCTGGATCCTCTCTCGCGTACTGGTTACCATGGATGTCTCCAGGTGGGGCTGGGGTAGCATTTGCAGGAACACTCACGTGAACGGGTCCTGGATGGACAGGGAGAGGACATGGC